ATTTATTAAATATATATATATATATATACGTAAATAATTCAAGAATAATCCATTTAATTTAAAAATCTGTAGTCTCTATTTATGTCGTTATTTTAATTTTTTCAACTGATTTATGGCTCACGCTCTATTAGAATTTATAAAAAGTACTGAAAAATCAAATGAATGGCAAAATTACGAGTGTACTTAAATACAATCTCATTAATAAAACTTTCTAGAATATCAAGCTTGACAATACGTATCGTCTTGAAAACTTAAAAGATGTTTAATACACGGGAAGTAGATTCCATTTCCATTCCAGAATCTTTTTATTGTTTGCACTCAATCAACTATCTAGAAGTTAAGCAGTAAAAAATATCCCTATTCGTGAAGAATGATTCCAAATCATTTGACTAATTCATAGAATAACTCGTTTTTCATGTTTGCTAACAAAATATTGCTTAATATTTACTGAATGAAAAAAATATTTTCTTTCAAATAAAAAGGCTTTTTAGACTTGAGTAACTGTGTATACCTCCCTAATGACTGCTTTCAAAAAGCTTTACCCCACTCCAATGTGTTATATTATTATTAAGAAATAAATTAGGATACTTAAGCTAAAAATAGATTCAATATTCTGAGGTTCATTGTAATGAGGGTAACTTTATTCCATTTTGCTCCAATATTAAAAGAAAAATGAAATATTCCTTATGAACTCAAATAGTGCTTAAAATAAGTTGCCATGACAATGAGGACGGTAAATTGGTTGCCATGGATACACTGAAAGTTTATTCACTGCATTTGACGTCACATTAAAGAGATTTCGAACTAGCTCTCATGGATTTTGAACGTTGTTTCTAAATTCGTGGAATATTTGTTGATTTAATCGAAGGATACCTTCTTTGCGAATTTCAGTTTAATTAATTTAATATCAGCATGGTGCAATGAACTTTAAGAAGCTTTCTTATAAGATGTTATTTTATTGCTTTATTTTACTTACAATATAAAGGTTAATTTTCCCTCTTTACTTAAAACAAACTGTTCAAGCAGTATAATCTTTACTTTAAGCATCTTTGTCATTCAAAATAACTAACCAAATCATAAATATTTTTCCTTTATAGTTTTAGATTATAAAGAACAAATTATTGATTTAGATTTACGAACTAATTAATTTACTTCTAAGGTGAATCTAAGGTTTATCTTGGATTTTTCGTATAAATGCAACCATAGATCGTTGATTATTCGCAGGTTCTTTACTTTTCTAAAGTAGAGTACACAAAATAGAATTTCTAAAGTAACAGTAAAACAGAAAAAATTATTTTAGACATTTTCTCCTAAAAAGTGCAATTCCAAATAAAAGTATTTCTGCTCACTGGACGAAAATTTATGCATGTACAAGTAAAGCATCGTTTAATAACCAGAAATGCCGATAGACTTAAAACGGCCTGAATTCAGTTAGGAATTGTGTTCACAGAGTCTTGGGGGTGCGTCGGATTGTATCCAGTTTAAGTAACTTACAAAAGATTGCACGAGTTCATCTAATTTTATTTTATTTTATACCCGTCATTGAATTGCCAATCTAATTTTTGAGTTTACGACTATCAATGTTCAACTCCAAGACCTTGTAATTTTTAACACTATCTTGAAGACAAAGGAACCACTGGATCAAGTACTGAGGGAAATTTGTTTTCGTGAAGGAACTAACCCGCATTTGAGTTAGATAGTGAGGGAAACCATAAAAACCTCCCATTGAAAGCCTGGCGGCATGTGGACTCTAATCCATAATTAGTCTACCACTGAGGATATTTTACGTGAGCTCTGTGGTCGGCGCGAGCTGGGTGCGGAATTCGTATCGACCAGCCATCGCTGGGATTCGAACCCGATTCACCTCATTGGGAGACGAGAGCTCTATCCCATGATCCACCACGGCTTGAATTCATCATATTGCGGTTATGCTGATTTCAGCGTTTTATCTATTGTTCCACGAAGCTCCCAAGTCTTCTATAAGGTTCAAATCAGGAGATTTTGTAGCCCTATTGAGATGTAATGACCCTAGCAGCAAAATACTTGGTCCCACATTGGACCAATATTCAAGAATCTTGGCTCAATAAAGGTTCAAAGGGCCATTATTTCTCCGATATCGATATCCGATTTACCCGATATTTACAGTCAGGTGTTGTATAGAATTGTCAGATGTGTTTATTATTCAGCCAATATATGCCTTATTTTGAGTCTATGTATGCCAATATTGGCTCTATACAGGACCAATATTAAAAACTCTAGACATCTCAATATTGCCCCTTGAATGTATGTTCATATAGGCCAATTATTAGCCAACTGGGGCCGAGGTAAAATTGTTGTTAGGGAAGGTCTGTGAGTTTCTGTATAAAATCAGTCATATGTACAGTCCAATAAGGTGCATGAGGTTGTTTTACCTTCAATTAAGGTTGTTTTTAGGTTGATAGAAACATACCTTAGAGCAACCAGCTTAGATAGATTGTTTTTGAGGTGTACAGGATATTTTGTATACACTTAAAGCAAATAAGTATATCTGAAGTGTGACTACTTTCACTCGATTTTAACTAAAAGTTTCGCTTAAATATATATGAGTTTGATTTTATGGAGGTGAAAATAATGTTGAAATTGAGGTTTATCGAGGAGATTATTTTTGCTGCAAAATATAACCTTATTATCTAATTCATGTGTATTGTTTTACACCTGTTAACCACAAAACAACCTCAAAAACATCTTATTTTTTGTAAGGGTTTCCTTTCCTCTGTCGGAATACCTTTTTTTAATCTATTGCACTAGTGAGTGTTCTTCATCTTCATCAACGCATTTCTTTTTATATATTTTGTATTTCGCCACTGATAAATAGAGCCGACTCCTGTCAAAAAATTTCAGCATTAGATTCAGCTCTCTGTTAAATATATTCAGCGCTCGTGTATTCTTTAAAAATATTGTAAATGAAGAAAAATAAGGATTTACGATGTGATTGATTTGTACAATTTATTTCAGATCCATATGTAAAAATCGCCATTATGATGAATGGCAAGCGAATCAAAAAGAAGAAAACGAGTATCAAGAAGTGCACGTTGAACCCTTATTATAACGAATCCTTTACGTTTGAGATCCCCTTCGAACAGATACAGGTAAATAACAAAATATTGTTTGTATTTTTTTATAAATTTAATTATTAAGTTTTAACCCTTGTTTTACTTTGCTAAAAATGTATTGTATCTAATGTTTCTTTTTGGAATTTAAAAGTGTTCTGAAAACGAAATTTCTTATCTACTTAGCGAAAATAATTCTAGAAAAATTATCGGACTGTATGGGAATGACGTTTCTGGTAAATAAAAACGTTTTTTTTTTTTTTTTTGTCGTATGTCTGTTTTAGGCAGTGGGGGTGCGATTGTTGCTGTTTTTCAGTAGCGCCATCTATGGCTAGGAATACGACTTCTGCCACGCCATTCACACAACCACAACCTGTTTATAGGGCGGGTCACATTTACACACAAAGGAGAAAGGACATAGAACACACAGAGAGAGAAAGAAACATCCATGTCTTGCCCGGGATTCGAACCCAGGACCTTTCTGATGCAAGGACAGTTCCCTGCCCCCTACACAGGCCGATCGGCAATAAAAACGATATTTCTGGTTAATAAAACCTAAACGTATAGTATCTAAACCATTCATTTGGTAATTTTTCCTTTCATATGGAAATGGTTTACCGGAAATTCTGGTGTTCAAAATTACAGTCTTTATAACAATCCAGTAAATTACCCCACATTCAGTAAAAAATACAAATTTGAAGAGTAAGTTTAACTAAACTGTTTTGCTAAAATTACCACATTTTACGACCTATACCAAATTTTATCTCATAGTCTGAAACCATACTCATCGTTTATTTTACCAAAATCATTACCATCTCCGGTAATTATTTTGGTAAAATATAATAAACGATTTTGGTAAAATATATGATCTTTATATAGTTTTGGTAGAAATTAAAGAGCAATTTGGTGTGGGTGATTTACCAGCGTGTCCAATCTTGTTATTTAGTTTTTAAATATCTGTGGTTTGCACATCGCAAAGAAGTCCTAAGTCACGAAAACCCGGTTTTCCTCAAACGAGGCTATTGGATTCTGCAGCGGAACACCACAGGGGTGGATCCAGAAATTTTTCCTGGGGGTCATCATGGACTCAGATTCCCTCCCCCCACAATGAATTTTTCTTAGAGAAAAAATTTTTTAAATATTTTTTTGAAGAAAAAAAAATGGGGTTTTTAATGCTAGTCTTTTCATTTATTTGTTTCATAATGAGCAATAGAACAATACATAAATAATTCAGGTATTCAACATCTTTAAATAATAAATGTAATGCGTTTTTTAAAAACTTCGGCAAATCTTGGCTTTGGGAGAAAAAAAAATCGATTTTTCCGACCTACCTAGGTGTATATGCCCTTAGAGTAGGATTGCCCCCCTTAAATAATTTGTGAAATATTTTCTTTTCTTTTGTAAACTATTAAAAAAGTTTTTTTTAAATTTTTTTTTCAATTGGGGGGGGGGTCATGACCCCCATGACCCGCCCCCCGCTGGATCCGCCACTTTAACACCATTTGGCAACTACTGGTGTAATGTCTTTGTAACATCTAACCAACAATCTTTCAAATTTCATTTTATCAGACAAGGCATTTTTAGAGAATAAAGTTATTTTACAGTGCAATTTATTATTATGTTTCGAATTAATTATGATTACTAATTATGGATTTTTATCTAAATAAATTTTTGCTGCAAGTTGTTCAAATAAGTCAGAAATTCTTAAAACTATAATTAATCTGTAATATTCTATTAATGTAAATAACAATAAAGATTTTTCTTATGCATTAAATGTTAAGCATTATATTTTTTCAAAGTTTACAAACAATCTGTTGTTTAAAATTGAAATAAGCCATGTTTGTTTCTGAAGATTTATTTCGAATAATAAATTTATACTCACTTAAAACCGTTCATAAAATTCCTAACAGACACAATTTATCAATAAAAATGTCATCGTTTTATAATAAATGCAGGAAGTAGTCTTTAGAAAGCTCTATTTTTTTTTTTACTTCTCGTCGTTATGTGACCATCACTGTCTAGACATTGTCTGAAAGTATCGAAGAATAGACGCATAAAATTTTTATGTATCAAAAGAGGTCTTACTCTTACGTACTTTGGTAAAATCAAATTTGATTATTAGATAATATTTTTTTAAACAGAATCATAGTATGTTTTTATGATTAATTCTGTTAAATTATTCCCGTTAAATGTCTACGTATTCATTTATGAGAAAGCATTAAGAGCGCTTTTTGTAGCTCTTACGCCATTGAATAAAAAGGCACAGTTATAAACTTGAAAAAAAAAGCTTTAGTTTTAAAATGTATATACCATATTGGTGAAAAAAATTTACTGGACCATAAAATGGTTAACTATTTCAAGTATTTAAGAATATTAATTTGCTAGTTGCCTTTGGCAACCAGCTGGGTCTCCTTTAAAAGTTATTTTGTACAACAAGTAAACTTTAATGGTAACCAAGCCGAATGCAAAGCACAACTGTACTTAAATATTCAAATTAATCAAATCGTAAGAGTTAAATAATTAGCGTATTATTATAGCTTCTTATTAAATAATTAGCGTATTTTTCCAATTATTATTAATATTATTATTTTTTAACAGTCGTTGAACTGTCGACAATTTTTAGCCTTATGACTACCAATGTTCAACAACGTAACTTTGTAATTTGAACCTTGTTTGGATTTAAAAACAGATAAAAAACAGAATATTTGAAAACATTATTAACTTACATCAAAAATTGCATAAAAAAATGCAAACAATTATGGCCCGATTTTTCGGGTAATCTACTCAATTTAATAAATAATTCTCAACATTTGTATATTTTTATACAATGCCAAAGTAGCTTTTCAAATATTATAAATTTAGATACTTTCAATACACTATGGCCTTTTCTTAATAATCGTATTTTGGGCCTTTTTGGAAATCAACAAAGAGATAGCAAGCTACAGATGAACACGTAATTGGATTGCGTAATTGATTGCTTGGATTACAGATGGACCGGTAATTTGACATGTAGTTTGATTGATGGACAATTAATTGCTCTGAGTTATAAAAATAGTACATTAGGCGCAAAAAAGCGTTTTGATAGAAAAAAAGATATCAGGAAAGAGGTTTATGCTAGCCCCTTCCATTCTGCAAACCCCTGCAGAAAAATACGTAAGGGCGATCTTAATAAAAGCAACAAAAAGCAATACATTTTCTTGATGAAACAAATTGGAGAGAAAAATAAGTTTGAATGTTTTAAAAATGTGAAAGTCTTTTTTGAGGTAAATAATGAAGGGTCGCATATTATTTATCATTTTCTCTGTTTTTCTCCAAGTACGAGAGTTTTAAATGTACAAAATTATCCGTACATGTATCTCAATTCTAATTGTTACAAATCTCATCAAATGGTAGCACGGAGGGAAGATATGGCCTGAAAAAAAAATTCCAGGGAAACGTAACAAAAATACTTCTTTGAAACATTTATCAGCATTTTTTGAGTTTCCAAACTCCGTTAAGTCTGCTGTATCAAAATTTTATAATACAATGCTACACGCGAGGATTCCAAAATGTCTATTAATAACGGTATAATGGCAAAAATAAATTCAAAATATCTCAGAAATGAAGACCAAGATAAGAGTACTGTTTTTCCCATTTTTCACAATTGGATCGCCATCTGTTAAATTTCGAGGATGACAATTCAATAACGTGAGAAATCTGTTCTAGCCGTGAATGATTACTCAGTGATGAAGATGGGCCGTAGTGTGCTAAAACCTATTCTTCGACCTATGCATAAACTATTCTTCGAGCAAAATACCTCTTTTTCCGAATCAGCTATTATGGACATAAACTATTCTTCCTCGGAGGTCTTCAAATATTGGCTATAAAATCATAGTGTATAAATACTTTTAGGATGATTCATGTATAATTTTAATACACTCTGAATTTTTAGAGTTCTGGTGTATATGTATTATTTTAAAATTGTCATTTGTGTTTTCAGAAAGTGCAGCTGATGATAACGGTGGTGGATTATGATCGCATTGGAACATCGGATCCCATTGGGAAGGTGGTCTTGGGATGCAATGCGAGTGGAACTGAACTCCGTCACTGGATGGACATGCTTGCGTCCCCACGTCGACCAATTGCACAATGGCATTCGCTCAAAGACCCGGAGGAAGGACAAGACAATTAATCTACCTTCCTCTTTTCGTCTAGGTGAGTCAAAGTGTACAGAAATATTTCTGGAAAAATACAATTAAAGGACAATTTATTTGTTATTTTACCATGTTCAATCCAAATGATCATAAAAATGATTGTATTCAAACTGTTAACGATGAAAAAAATCGTTTACTGACTTTTTTAATTGTTTATCCCCTTCAAAAAGGTGTCTGAAAATCTATTCTAAAAGCTACTGATGCATCGAGCTCGATATTTCTCTATTGAATGAATTAAGTTTTTGCATTCTTTTCAGAATGGTAAAAAAAAGAGAGATCTCTCATTCATATGTGTACTATAAAATATACGTACATATACCTACTCATCTATAAAACGTAAAAAGAAATGCCTGGGCTTTTATAGAGCACCATGAATAATGCTTGCAAACGATTTTGAAGAATAATGCTTCAATCATAAAAATGATTGTATTCAAACTGTTGAGAAAAATCATTTACTGACTTTCTTAATTGTTTATCTCCTTCAAAAAGGTGTCTGAAAATCTATTCTAAAAATTATTGATGCATCGAGCTTGATATTTCTCTATTGAATGAATTAAGTTTTTGCATTCTTTTCTGAATGGTAAAAAAAGAGAGATCTCTCATTCATATACGTACTCATATATAAAATATACGTACATATATAAAATATACATATACGTATTCATCTATAAAACGTAAAAAGAAATGTCTGTGCTTTTATTAAGCCCCATGAATAATGCTTGCAAACAATTTTAAAGAATATTCGAAAAATTTCCATTTGCTCAAAGATTTGATTTACTTTAATTTTGTGAAAATTTATAATTTTAAATTTGTTGATTTAACTACATAAACAATTTATTATCGAACTGCGGTTGGTATGTTTTACCTGTTTGAAAGCGGGACAAAATATTTTGGAATTTCAAAATAAAATAAAAAAAATATTTCTTATAAGAATATATATTTTATTTTGTAGTGCATACTTTCATTTCCTTAACTAGCTTAGTAGGACCTGTATTCTTAAAGTTAACGGAAATGCAATAAAAGAGAAATAAAATTTATAATATATGTTAAATAAAAATTAGGCTATCAGTTTCTTCCTACATAAAAACCCGCATCCATTAGTTTTTGAAGACGAAAACGAAGCAGAGGTAAATATGATGCGAAATATTATTAATAATTATTACATAATTAGTATAAGTTACGATATTTTTATTATAATTTCTCAGTGTCTAAGAAGGAAAGGGCAGATTTCTATTTCTTATTAAAATTTTATGTCTAAAAGTATATTCCTTACAAATACGCCCTTAATGATTATGCAAAGTAAAAAAAAATATTAAATGCATATTAAATTTGGTCAGAATGCATATAAACTAAACAGAAACATTGATTAAAAATAAATAAGAATATTATAGTGTTTGATTTAGATATTAACTGGATGAAAAATGAATAAAAATATTTCACACATTTTGATTTGGTATAAACTTGATGCAAAGTAGATAAAAGCGTTCTATGTATTTTGATTTCGATACAAACTTGATGCAAAATAAAAATAAGAAACTTTTATATTCCTTTTGCATGTGATATATATTCACACCACTCGGAAAAAAAGAATTTCTATACCTTAATCCAAGCTTATAACATTTTATGTTCAGTAGTAATTTCCTTAGCAATACTCCCTGAACAATTATGCTAAATAAAAAGTAAATTATTTGCTTTTTAAGTTTGGTATAACATTAATGTGAAATATATGATAACTTAACCGAGACATTGACTCAAAATGAAAATGTTACAGTCATTTGGAATTGATATAAGCTTGATGCAAAATAAATAATAATACTTTACTCGTTTAAAATTTGGTATAAACTTGGTTTGAAGCATATTAAAATGTTCTATGCAATTTGATTTTGGTGCAAACTTGGTGCAAAGTAAGTAAAATATTTATTTTCTTCTTGTATGTAATATTAACTTTTTCTTTAAATTTCAGAACACTCGAAGGGAATTTCTATACCTTGATCCTAGCTTATAACATTTTATGTCCAGTAGTAAATTCCTTAGAATTGCGCTCTAAACAATTACGTAAAATAAAAAGTGAATTATTTGCATTTTAAAAATGGTATAACATTATTGTAAAGTACATGAAAACTAAACCGAAACATTGATTCAAAATAAATAAAAATGTTACAGTCATTGGGAATTAGATAAACTTGACGCAAAATATATAATAATATTTTACTCGTTTTAAATTTGGAGGTATAAATTTTATTTAAAGCATATTAAAATGTTCTATGTAATATGATTTTGGTGCAAACTTGGTGCAAAATAAATAAAATATTTATTTTCTTTTTGCATGTGATATTAACTTTTTCTTTATATTTCACGGAAGTCGAAGAGAATTTCTATACCTTGATCCAAGCTTATAACATTTTACGTCCAGTAGTAATTTCCTCAGCATTGCACCTTAAGAAATTATGTAAAATGAAAAGGGAATAATTTGCATTTTAAAAATGGTACAACATTAATGCAAAGCACATCAAAACTAAGCAGAAACATTGATTCAAAATAAATAAAAATGTTTTAGTCATTTGGAATTAGATACAAACTTGATGCAAAATAAATAATATTGCACTCGTTTTAAATTTGGTGGTATAAATTTGATTTAAAGCATATTAAAATGTTCTATGAAATTTGATTTTGGTGCAAACTTGATGCAAAATAAATATAATATTTATTTTCTTTTCTCATGCGATAATAACAGAAAGGCTCCTGTGTGTTTGCAGGCAGTGTGTCCCCTGATGAAGTACTGTTCTGCAAACACACAATTACATTTTATTTTTATTTATTTTTATTATTAAGTAATTTTGTGTTTTTACTAATTTTTTTTTGTATTTCAGAGCACTCGAAGGGAATTTCTATACCTTATCCAAGCACAACATTCCAGATACATCAAATTTCGGATTTTGTCTCCATGACCTAAAAAAATAAACTCGTGTGTGTCCAAAAATATCTAGAAATATGTATACATAAATATATAGGGTTGAACGTAGGTTTGTAAATAGCTAATAGCTATATACATGCTTTCACATTGACACTTGTCTTCGAAATGCTGTATGTATTGTAACAATTATGTATTTATTATAGTTATAATTATGTATTATTTCAAAAAAAAAGTTTTATTAAGTTTATTCGCTGTAGATGAAATGCAAATCAAAGTGTGGTTGTAATTAGGTGTGAATTCTAAAAATTTTAATAATGTTGCATATCACATGTATAAGTCTAAAGTTGGAAAAATTTTATCGTAATCTTTAGGAAAAAAATGTTGTGAAGTGATATTTATAGACAGTTTCTGCAATGCAAGACTAACTCTGGGGGTTTGTAATTGGTTCCTTTGATGTTCTATTTACAAATTCTGGACTGTTAAGAAAAGAAATTCGAATGCAATACGATTGGATATTTGTCTTTCATAAACAGTGATTATCGTTTGCGCGTTTATATTCACAACTATTGTTCACGTGGTGTTTGTATTCACAATTATCGTTTGCGTGACATTTGTTATCACAGCACTTAAAATTTTTATTTTTCGAAAAAATTAGTTTAGTTCGCTTTTTAAAAATTTCCTTAAAATGATTCGTAATTTTATTTTATTTTAAAAACCTGTTTCACTATTGTCCTTTGCACTATTTCTTTTCCTATAAATAGCGCCGAGTTCTATAATGAAATAAAATTGGTCGCGTGTCGTGGGTTTAAAAATGTCTTTTAATTTATTTCATGCATATCAGTTTCGTTCGTGAATATGTGCATTTGTTCAGTGTTCATGCTTACGCCGTGTTCTCTTATTTCTAATATCACATTATATTCAAATTTTAAAAAAAAACAAGCAAATCAAAAACAACGAACGTGAACCAATTTATCTTGTAAAGTTTTCACGCAATTCTTCAATCTTATAAAAAATATTTATATCTAATCAATTCTTAGAGTACATAATACTGTAAAATAAACTATCACGTGATAAACATGGGGCTGCACCTTTGTAGACCAAGTGCTAGGGCTAACAGAGTGTGTTATGCAGTCTATGTAGATTACAAAAAATACTCCGAGTAATTGAGAAAACACGAAAATTTTTATAAATTGCGAAAACAGTCAGGCATTGTTCGACAAAATTTAGACGAAAAAAATTTTTTAAACTTGAAAGAGTTACTATGCTCTGACGTACATAACGGAATCTTGTGGTTAGATGGCTGCCTACGATTTACTCTTAATTTTAGCTCTAGCCTATTCCTAATGTTCCATGCGTCTGGATTTGTCGCAGCCCTGGAAAAGGCTATAATCCAGCCTTTTTTCTTCTATTAAAACATTACTAGTTTATGTAGGAATATTTCGAAAAGTGAAATTCGAATTGGTAGTGTTTATTCAATTAAAAGAAATCGGGCGAATTAGAAATAACGAGAGCAAAAATTTTGCATCGTGAAGTTACGCACGGCATGTTCTAACTTTTTCTCTTTATGACAAAACTATATTCTCAAATATTCTATGATATTATTAAATTAAACATAGCATGTGTATTCAATGCATTTTTTGCTTTTCTTACTGTCTTTTGCCATTGTATATGAATATATTATTAAAAGAATAAATGAGTGGGAAAAATTTTTCTTTTTCGAAGTTTACAAGTGGAAATATATTTTATGATGGAATTGAATAAAAGATATCTGTTTCTAATATAACAAACTGTGATTATAGTACTTAATGTTTTAACCCACTGAATGCATCAGTGTTTGAGATCATAATTGTGTGAATATTACTATGGAACTCTCTTGTTGATATTTTCTGTTGGTAAATCACAAATAAAGTAACATCCATGATTAATCCTCATTTTTCTGTGTTTTTATTTCCAAATTTCAAGTAAATAAATCTTTTTTATAGCTACCAGCTCCTAAATTCAAAGTATTTGTTTGAAATTCTGCATCGATATATCGATATTTTTCGATATGTCGTAAGATTTATTTCAAGTAAACACATCTTTTTCTAAGGCTACCGCTTCTTAAATTCAAAATATTTTTTGAAATTCTGCATCGATATATCGATATTTTTTCGATACATCGATATTTTTTAAGGCTAATTAAGACTTTTTTAAGGCTAGAATTTTTTGAAATTCTACGTCAATATAAAAAAAAATTAAGAAACACTTTAAAAAATTCCGGATTAAATTTCAGTAAGAAGTACCGTTACTCAGATGCCGTAAAATCTATGTTTACCGGTACATGCTATAGAACAAAAAATCTGATATATCATAGTTTTTACAGTAAAATCACTGAATCACTTTTCAATAAGTATTATTTTATAATAATTCAAGGTAAAAACGGATTTTATGGATCATGCACCCTAAGTGTCGGTACTTCTTACCGTAATTTGATTCGGAATGTTTATGGAGTTCGTCAAAATTAGATTTCAGTTGAAAATCACTTTTTAATCCATAAAATGCCTTACTTGTATGGGGCAAAATTAAGAAATTTCGCTATCGGCCCCTCTACAGTTAACATTTTTGATACTGGCAACTCTTTTAAAGATTAAAATTTTTAAATAAGTTAAAAATTGTTGCTTTAATAATATAAGGCATTTCTCTTAAACCTTTTCTAAAATTTGGTAAACAAGAAAACTTTCACTATTAAAATGAGGAAAAGTTTTAAGAATCAAGCGTGGAATAATATCATTTTTAGAATATTTTTACTAATTCCACATTTATTAAAAAATAATAATAATAATAACAATAAAATGCGCATTTCCAAAGAAAAAAGTAATGATCGAGTGACAATTATCATACAACTTGACATTTGTTACATTTAGTTAGCGTGTAGCCTTTAACGACCATTAATTTTGCCCTATGTTTGTACTGGTATCTTATTTGAAAAGCAAAGTTTAAATTTTAAGGTTAAAATTATTACGAAAATAAGCCGTTTATAGCAGTGGTTTCCAGTAAGTGTACTTCGTGGGAAATCGGAAGGGTACCAAGAATTAGGAAAACAAAGTAATGCTTTTGAATTCAGTTATTATATAGATATCCAATCAATGATCCAATTTTTATTTATTTTTTGAAATTGTTTTAATAAAAGGCCAGGGAGGAAAATTAATTTTTAAGGGTATATAGTAATTTTCTAGTAAAAATAAATTAGATTAATATGAAGGCTATGTATTGTGTTAGTATGTATTTCTCATCTAAACTTTCAACTCAAAATAAAAAAAATAAAAATTTCACAATGCCGAAATATGTTTGCCTGATTACCATTTCCAAGTTTATAAGAGTTCGTTTTCAATTTAACGAAAATTGTAATCCAGCCTATTTCAACCTCCTCTCCTCCCAACTACTACTTTGGTTGGGGGGGGGGAAGGAAGAAGGAATTTTTTTTCCTTTTTTTATTATCGGTCTGCTCTACATTTTTACACTACTGAGAAACGGTGCTGTACTGTTAATAAAGATTTCATCAACAGTACAGCAATTATTAAAATTTCAGAAACCATTTATATCATCCATGTTGATTAAATCTGCTGACAAATTTCGACATAGAAAGAAAGAATAAAACGGCGGTTGGAGGGAGGCAGCGTACCCAACCTTACATTTAAAGTTGCCCAACAACCGGTTCACAACTGACGCATAGTTAGTCTACGGAGAGAACTCTCCCCGCCACAAAGTCTGAGGCCGTCTGCTGCTATGGAAACAAGAATAGCGCATTTCAAGGAGGGTAGCTTCTCTTCACACTAGGGCTAACACAATTGACAGAAGAAAAATATTCCCTTTCTTTCTCCGACGGGAACCAAAAAAATGCCCTAAATAATGACCCCACACCCCTACTTAAAATAGTTATACCTAGTTACCATAGTCACCACCACGGGTCCTGAAGAATGGATAGGGGAGTTGTTACTTTAGACAAACTATACCTCCTGACCGTCACATTGCTTCTTATACACATGCTCTGGATCTTAGTGCATGGCAAACAATTCGTAGTTCAAGAACGAATTTAACTTCAACGTAAAATCATCACAGTTTTACATAAAGTTAGTGAATGGATACAAGGAAACTGGTAAACAATTTGTAGTCCAAAAATTTTATTTGACATTATTTTGAAATATTTTACTTTAAAATACAGATGTAGTGAACAGATTCCGATGTTAATAAATAATCTATTTTGCTACATATATTTGTTCTGTTAAAGAAAATAGTTTTATTAAAATAGTTTGTTATTGCTTTTTCTGAAATGCTTCAAGACCACTTGAGCATCGTTTCCAAAGGCAAACATTGATTTGGGTTTTTTAAAATTTGCACTGAAAATTGGTTTGCAAAAATATAATTGAATGATTGGAATGTCGGAAAGACAAGAGCATTCTGCGATGCGTCGAAACTTTGCATAGTTTTTCATATCATAGAATCACTGGATCTGCAACACCTATAAAAGATTTCAAATCAGTATTTATGTTTAATTACAATTTAAGTATCTAATAGCAAGTGATATATTTAACTAGCTGAATACCCGTTCCTTATACGGGGTAAAACGAAGAAAATAATCAATAAATCAGTATGGAATAACACTACAAAATCAAGCATGAAACTGAAAGACATTTGCCAGGTAGCTTTGCGTTATTGGATTAAGCAAAACACGTTTATTTATAGTACATACCCTTTAAAACAAAGATTAATTGTATTCAGTATTTTTTGGGGTGAGGTTATTGCATGAAGCTACAATCAATTGCATGAAGCTACAACAAATTTGCAACAATCAAGCATTTTTTTCAGTACTCACCCATTTCGAAGAGCCCTAAAAAACTCTGCACGCAGTATCAATATTAAAACTGCACAGTATTGATGCAATTTTGATAGGTACCAAATACACCAATATACACCGAAGAGCCATTACATTATGACCACCCTCCATCTAAAACAATGGGCTCGCCCAGGTTTTCATGCTTTATCGCCCAGGAACAATGTTTTCATAGGACACATTGGGACCCATAATCCTCATAGAACAATCCCTGACGCCTGTAAGCTACTTGAACATAGTTGCAGACCAGGTTTACCCGTTCATGGCAACATTTTTCCTGCGGGGGATGGTGTTTACCAACAGGATAATGCGCCATGTCATAAGGGTCGAATCGTCATGGATTGGTTCAATGAACATTCCAGTGACTTTCAAGTCATGTCTTGGCCCCCAAATTCACCTGACTTTAATCCACTAGAGCATTTGTGGTCCTACTTGAAAACCAAATTCGTGCTGCCACGCTATGATGAGGAATGCCACGCTAATGTGCTGCCACGCTAATGTGAGGGAATTGCGGGACCAGTTGGTGAGAGCTTGTTACCAGATACCTCAAACTACCTATCAGCATCTTGTGGAATCAATGCCACAGCGGGTGCTTGCAGTTTTGAGGGCTAAAGGTGATCACTTTCAAAGTTTCTCCTAAGAGAATGAGCAGTATTCCTTCTTTAATTTTGCTTTATTGTATAAAGTTTATTTTTTTATTTGATTGCTATTATCAAAATTAATTAAGCATCATAGACTTCAAAAATGGTATGGCGATGTTTTAATTTTCTCCAAGACGAATTAGAATCTTCAGTCATTAATTTTGATTTTTAGAACATTGCTTACTTTTTTTTTATTCAATTAGCATCTATTATCAAAATTAATTAAGCATCATTGGATGCAATACTTGTTAAGTGATTTTTTACGTTACTCTTAAATGAATTTGTGTCATTTACCCATTAACATTAATTTTACTTTTTAGTTCATAGCTTATATTTTTACTTCCAGTAGTGAAAGAATTAATTAAGCATCTTTAACTACAATATTTGTGAGGTGAAGTTTTACAGTTTTTCAAAATTACTTAGCTCTTCTTCTTCTTTTCAGTACATAGCTTGTTTTTTTTTATGTCAAGTAATAGATATTACTGAAATTAATCAAACATTATTGGCGCCATTTGTATTTAAGTACGTAACTTATTATTTTTTAATTACAAATATCGCTGCCTTTATTCAGTTTTATAGAAACATTTTCTAAAGCTGTCTGTAAACTAAATCTGCGTTTTAGATAGTTTTAGAAATACTAATGCATAACTCTGGCAAAACTATGTATGCTACAGCGATTACTGTGATAATTGAGTTTATCTGAAATAACTAACGGAAGATTAAATATTAAAGAACGTGTGATATAAAACCCTATTTTTAATGAGAGCTATAGGCTTGAAAACGTTACTAATGTTATCTTTAAAATGTAGGAAAAACAGAATCGTCTAAAGTTTAATTTTTTATCAATGACCGGTTTTAAGTAATGATTTCCCTTTTTTAAACGTCTCTTTCGAAAGTTCTAATTGAAATTTTTGAACGAATTTGAGAATCGGAGTGTAAAATTTCTATTCTCACTCACTGTCACGTGTAACGTGTCACTGCAGCGTGTTCGAAACGCGAGCGTAAACGGTTCTGGTGTTACATATGACACACACAACAAACTCTTCCTTTTATAATTATAGATTAATTATTAAGATATTAGGTAACGATAAATACATTAGCTTTCATAGACACTTAATTATACTTTGAAGAACTTTTCTTAAAGGTTTTTATTACAAGAAGTAATGTTATCAGACTATATTTAGCATGAGCCATTTAAATTTTACGATACTATGACTAACTTTCGTTCACTTCTTATTATTAAAGTACATTATATATGCTCATTTTTGAGAATTTTTAGCGCCTTTGTTTGAACAGTTTAATTTACACGTAATTTTAATGCGTTGTTTATTTTTAATTTTAAAAGCAGAATACTTTTAAAGACTCATTGTGTTATATCAATCAATATTCCAAACGATTTTTGCTTCATTGCACTCATGAAAAAAGAAAATAATGAAGAAAGAAGCAAACCAACTAATTGGCGAATTAGTGAAAATGAGAATTAGAGAATCAGCACTTCAGCATTCACCTATCGATAAATTGGAGAATCAGACAATAGCCGAATGGCGAATAAATGAACTCGCTTTCTGGTGAATCGAAAAATCAGTATATTAGAGCATCAGAGAATCAGCTAACTCATTAAGACATAATTAATCTGAAAAAATTTGCAATTTAACAATCGACAGTATTTGTTATTATTTTTCCTGTTAGTTGTAAAATAATGGTTAGTACAACCGAGACTGAGTTTGATCGCAACCGTTTGTATACAAATACAGTCTTGCTAATTACCAAAATTTAATTTAACAGAACATCTTATCTCAAGCAAACCAGAGGGTGCTACTAACCTCATAAAAAACAAACAAATCTTTCCTGTTGCATAACATATTAAATTTCCAAATTAAGAAATGTGTTCTAGTTGCCTTGGCAACAAAAAGAATGAGATAAATCATATTTAGGAATTTAAGTGATATTTTAATGATGTGACGGATGTTATTTTTACTGTATATTTGGGAGGTCTTCTTTTGGAAAGAAAAAGATCTGTCATTTGTTTTTCACCTGCGACGCACTAGACCAAATTAAGATTAGACATTAAACATGATTTTTAGCCATGAAATGGCAAACTTGATTTCGATGTAGTAAAGAACAGTTGTGCTTTTGTAATTATTAAATGCAATACATTAAATATTTCTTAAATAAAACAATGGTTGTGTGTATGTGTTTTAAAATATCTTTTCTACTTGAGAGTTTAATCTCTTTTAATTGATTTTACACAGTCCAGTCACATTAATGTGACCACCTGTCAAAAGCCAGAATAACCACCTTTGGCAGAGCGGACCGCTACGAGACGTACAGGAAGAAAGTCAATTAGGTTTCTGAAAGTGTTCACTGGGATGTTGAGCCATGCCGACTCCAGTGCCGTGGCCAGCTGAGCTAGATTACGCGGTTGAGGATCCATGGCACGAGCAACCCGATCGAGGTGGTCCCACAGATTCTCGATTGGGTTTAAATCCGGTGAGTTATCCGGCCAGGGGAGTACGGTAAATTCATCCTGGTGCTCTTCGAACCACGCACATGCACTGCGAGCTGTATGACACCTCGCATTGTCCTGGTGGTAGATGCCATCATTCTGAGGAAAAATCATTTGCATGTAGGGGTGGACATGGTCCGCAAGGACAGATACGTACTTGTACTGATCCATCGTGCCTTCCACAATGATGAGTGCACCCAGTGAATGCCAGGAAAACATTCCCCAAACCATAACGCTCCCTCTTCCAGCCTGCAGCCTTCCGGCAATTGTTGCAGGGTGTTTGCTTTCAGACGTTTTACGCCGTATACGCCAACGTCCATCTGTCCCATGGAGCATAAAATGTGATTCATCGGAAAAAGCCACCTGTTGCCACTCTGTGGACGTCTAGTTGCGGTACTGGCGTGCAAATTCCAGCCTTTGTCACCGATGAACAGCAGTCAGCATAGGTGCATTAACCAGGCGTCTGCTGCGGAGGCCCATGCGCAGCAACGTTCGCTGAACAGTTGTTGAGGATACACTTTTGGTAGCCCCTTGGTTCATCTGGACGGTCAGTTGCTCAACAGTTGCACGTCTATTCGTCTGAACGCATTTCCGCAGCCTTCGTTTGCCTCTGCCATCTTTGGCCCGTGGTGCACCACATGTGCCACGCCGTTTGTTTTGTATAGTGCCATTTTGCCATGCACGGTATACTTTTACCACGGCGGTACGCGAACAGTTCACAAAATCAGTCGTTTCCGAAATGCTTCCACCCTTGGCCCGAAAGCCAATAATCATGCCCTTTTGGACGTCGGATAAATCGCTACATTTCTGCATTGCGCCAACGACTGAAATGCTTTTCGATGCCCTAGGACATCCAATATATACACTACACTGTAATGTGCTGCCACCTACACTCTGTGATTGGTTATTTCACTTTGACGTCAAAAGTAGGTGGTGGTCACATTAATGTGACTGGACTGTGTATTATTATAACACAGCAGTAAAGTTGCATAGGTAATTTTTTATTTTATTTCATTTTCTATCCGTCTTTGAACAGCCGACCCAATTTTGGGTTTACGACTACTAATGTTCAACTCCGTGGTCTTGTAATTTTGAACCAATCCAGAAGACAAGGAAACTCCTGGATCAGTACCCCCAGAGGTACTGATTCGTTATGGTAACCTGGAGGACTTTGCGACTCGACAGATTTGACGTGCATCAGCCACCATTTACTACACGGGGGTCTTCGGCCGGCGGGAATCGAACCCACAAGCTCTTGGACATGGGCCCAGCGCCCTATCGTCCAGGCTATCCCGGGCCTTGCATAAGTAATTATTAAAAACGTCGTTTAGTTATGAAAATGCTAATAGCTCAAGTTGTATTTCTTCTTAGATTTTTTACAGCTAAATTGAAAAATGCCAATAAATTTTGATCGTGAAAAATCTCTTTTCATAAATTGGCTTTGTCATTATAAAAACGGAGTTAATTATAAAGGGTGGCTCACAGCTTAAGCCATACTTTACACTAAGGGCGTATCAAATCTAATCAAAGCAACATTGCTTTTGTGATAGTCTTTAGTATATTGAGACAACCTTCCTTATACATGACAGTAAAATGGAGATATATACTGAAAGTAATCAACCATCAAAAATAGAAGTTTTGAGAACTAGTCTCTTTCTAATCCTGTTTTCCTTGGGGATATAGTAATTGGATTTACCAGAACCATTACATGTACTCGGTAACTGCATTTTTTTCTTATATATCCATAAACCTCATGCTACTCTGAGAAGGAATATTTTTTAAGCGGTATTAGGCGGCAAAATATATAATACAATAAAATTATACACTTAACTCATTCATAATAACAATAATTTAACTCGAGTTGTAGTTTGAACAATAAATAGGTAAAAAAAAAGTAAAACTATTTAGAATTTTAATTGGATACTTGCAAGTAAAACATCGTAGGTAAATAGAGGCATTTGTCGATGCGGATGCCAATCAGGTTCGACAAACACGCGTGGTGTTGCTTAGAAGTATTTTCTATTTAAATCCGATTTAAATCGCCTGATTAGGTATAACTTCCAATGGGATACCTGCAAATGACATCGTGTGGGTATCTCGATCCTGATTGGTTGTTGAAACAAAGCAAAAATGGATCATGGTTACAATAAAATGCATAAACAAATTATAAATCTAAGTTAAGTAAAATACGTAGACGAAAAGGAATTATATTTTAACAAACTTGATGTGCGATATGGCTCTATATTTAATTAACTTCACCTTAATTAACATTCTAACTTATGTGGAGAAATCTAGCTCAGTTTTAACGCCCCATTTTGCATATAAATGATCAGCTGGCGCTGACGTCATAGGTCACATGTATGGGTATTGTGATCTTCTTCTTGAAATGCAAGCACACAATTGGGTATACTATAGCCTACGTCACAGATCGTGTTATTCCTACTAAATTTAACTAGTAAAATATTTTGGTTTGATNTATCCACATAAATCAATTATTAATCAAAAATCGAATATCAATTACTTTTCTTTATAATGCAATAAAATCTGGCGAGCAGCTATTTAAACGATCAAACACTTCGTTTGTTTATTTGTGTGACTCAGTTAGGCTCGCAGAAAATGCCGTTCATGGGTTAAATTTAGTAGGAATAACACAAGCTGTGACGTAGGCTATAGTATACCCAATTATCGATTTTAAAAAATAATAATGAAATGGAATTATACTTACTTATTTATTATATTTTAAATACTATCTTAGCTTTAAATACAAAACTTGTACTTTATACTAAAAAACTACAAATAAATAAAAAGATACTGAAGGCTTTTCTATGAATAAAGAATGAATTCAGCTTGCACGCTAGTGGCAAGTTCTCATCAAAAATTAACCCCATAATGTCTTTTTTTTATTATAAGGTTTATTTAGACAACTTTTTTCCAAAAGAATTTCACGTTTATTGCTTCAAATTGCTATAAAAAGAAATCGACTTTCTCTGTAAATTGAAATCTATTTTTAGGAGTTCAGTGGAGAATAACAGCGGTGATCACTTATATTATTCGCCTCATTCCATTTTAACTGCGACCGAAAAACAGCAAAGAATAACCCGACATTATTTATTATCTTCTGAGTAAACAAGATGCAGAAATAGAAGTCATAAAATTCATTATGAAAACCATTAATTTTATGAAGTAGTAAATAGACATGAAGGTGCAATTTGTTAAAAGCTGTCTTGAGAGAAAGAAAAAGAAAAGAAAGAAAACTTAATTGACTTACTCTTTAAGTAATCGGCTAAAACTTTATCTCCCATTATTTCTGCTATTTCTTCAGCGGTATTGCCCTGAAAAAGAATGATTAATACGAGTTTCAGATCTGTATTTCTAAAGACATGTTTAAAGAGATCTAGAACTTTACAAGAATTGCTTAAAATTTTAGTTTCGTAATAAATAAATTGAACATAAAATTGTTTCAATGTAAATTTTCTCATAATTCATGATTGTTCCATTTTTGAGCAAATTCCAAAACTTCAAGTTTGTTGGTGTATGTAAATAAATCTAGAAGGAATAAATAAGAGCATTATTCAGACCTTATTAATATTGATATGTTTTTACTATATCAGGTTTTAAAAGCATTTTTCTTCTCTGTTCGTTCAACCCAAAAAAGTAGCTAAATGTTAGCTTTGCTTCATGTGGTGTAATTAGCTCATTCAAAGTCCTTGTGGATAGTTTTTAAAAGGTAGAAAGGTAGTTCTTAAAAGTCGGTAAATGCTTCGCTTCAGTCAGCTTATTCAAAGCCCTAGTGGATAGTTCTTAAAGGGTTGAAAGGTAGTTCTTAAAAGTAGGTAAATGCTTCGCTTCAATCAGATTATTCAAAGCCTTTGTGGATAACTTTCAAATGGTAGAAAGGTAGTTATTGAAAGTAGCTAATTGTTAGCTTCGCTTCATGTGGTGTAATTAGCTCATTCAAAACCCTTGTGGATAGTTTTTGAAAGGTAGAAAGGTAGTTCTTAAAAGTAGGTAAATGCTTCGCTTCAATCAGCTCATTCAAAGCCCTTGTGGATAGTTCTTAAAGGGTAGAAAGGTAGTAATTGAAAGTAGCTAAGCATTAGCATCACTTCATGTGGCATAATTAGCCCATTCAAAACTCTTGTGGATAGTTCTTAAAAGGCAACTAGCAATTGATATGCAATCTGCTTGTAAATTCTGTTTAACAAAGTGATCGAACCCTATTTTGTTTGCATTAAAAATTAGAGGAAAGTATAAATATTTTATTTTCTTGTGCAGTAATCTTTATTAAAAAGTAACACACTGCCAAGATAATGCTTTTACAATACTACAAAGTAAACAATACAGTCCGTAGGTAATGTTTGCTATCAATGAGTACAAAATAATAAAATTTCTCAGCGAAGAATCTGGCATAACCTTACTCTAACTGGCTTCGTCCGTTTCTCTTTAAGTTGTAATATTAAGTTACAATTGAGGCAACTATTACATAATTATATCTTTATTCATTCGTGCGTTTTCTTTAAATGATAAAGATTGTTATATCGATATTGTTTATCATAGACGAACCAACAAATGCAGCTAAGTAAACGTCATTTCTTTCCGCTCTTTCACGCGCAACAAAATCTTGTCTAATTCGCAGATGTATAAAAAAGTTTCATTTTGGGAACAACAAGATTATAAGCAGTAAGAATTAAATAAATGTTCCCTGTTTTTAACACTTATTTAAAAAATATATCACTTTATTACTGCCTGTTTTTATAAAAGTAGCTTGTTGAATTAAAATAGTCATAAAATAAATGGTGCCAATCGGAGGCTAATTGGAAAATCAGACTTTTTGCATACTGCCAACGTCATTAGTTATTCTTGTTGTAAAAAGGTGTATAGGTGCATCGCAAAGTGCAGTTGACAGTTTGCAAACATCTCGATTTTTTAATTAGCTTGCACTCAGTTTGTTTTTTCTTTTTCCAGTGACAATTTTACCTGTTTATCCTTGACATCTAATGATGCTCCCCCACTAACTAAAATCGAACAGATTACTTTATCCATTCTTGAAGCTGCCCTGTGTAAAGCTGTGTGAAACCTATAAATTAAATTAATAAAAATATTTGAGTTGCATCTAAAGAAAAATAAGGGAACACAAATCCAAAAATCCTTGAAGCAATGAAAATAAATTCGCTTTTCAAAAATTATTGTTCAAACATAAGTCTAAGACGTAGTTTACATTTATTTGGAAAGCTGCTTTGTCATACTGTAAGTTTTGACTAGCCCAAAAAATGTTTTAAACGATATTTAACAATATTTTTCTTAAATTAACAAAGAAGNCCCATAATATTTCTTTGTAATCAAAGAGTTCTGAAGATGATATGCGAATTGCAATTAGCAACATACATCCAAACATCGATGAGATAATTAGAAACTTGCAGCCACATACATCTCATTAAAGGGCAATTTACTGATTTTTGTGTTATACAAAAAGTATTTTCTTAAAATTATAAATAAAATTAATATGAGTCAAATATGATGATGTTTTTATTCGATGAAACGAAAGAAATGCGCGAAATATACATCTTATTTGTGAACATTTATCTCTAGGGGTCGCCAAAAATTTTCTCTCTACTAAAGGGGTCGCAGTCGAAAAAAGTTTGCGCACCACTGAACTAGACGATCCCGAATCGCATATTAGAACTAAATACAATATCGATAGAAGTAACTAAATGGAATATTCAGAAAAACATAGAGTTAAGTATGGAAAAATTAATTGTATTGAGATTTAACTATATATATATATTTAACTGTATAGAATAAATATTAGCATTTTATTCTATTGAAATAAAGGTAAATAAAACCAATCAGTTTCTTTACTTTGAAGATAGGATTTATTTAAGCTTATTAAATATACTTACATAATATCGTCTTGCGCATCCAAAACTGAAATTGGAGCTGCAAAGAAACAAAGCTAAATGGATTTTCAAACAACATGTGATGAAAATAAATTCTTTATACTTAATGCTACTATAAGAAAAAACGGACGAATCACAGGTTTCATTTAACAAGCTTCGATAGATGAAAAAAAAAATCATTGTATTACTATCAAATTTCATCACTTTAATATTTCTCCCATAGGAATTGCGGAATTTTTCGTTGTGTAAGGTAATAGGATTTTCGTTTCGCAATTCATTGAATTGGTCCTGCAATTTATTTTGGCATGTTATATGCTTTGAATTTTTTTCTTCTGCAAATTCAATTTCTCGCACAGATTTTTATTCTAGTTCTAAGATTAAAAACATCTATCTCAATTCTAAATCCTTTTTAGACAGTAAAGGTGATTTTCTCTCTCAACTCGAAACAAAATTAATGAAGCGGTTTTAGTTGAAATAGAGTAAGGTTGCTTCATTATACTGGGTGTTCTGTAATGAGCACCCTTAATACATATATTTAGAAACATTTACAAATTTAAAAAAAAAGTATAGATATAAGGGGTTTAAAATAGTAGATATAATAGTGGTTATTAACCAAGCCATGAAAAAAAAGCATCAACAACGCTAAGGCTGAGGGATCTGTACTGAGAAAAAAAGTGTATTAAAAACTACCAGAATATGATAAAATTTACCGTGTTTCTGGCTCTATATGCTAATGCCAAAAAAACGTGGTAGTTTTCACTGAGCGATTTGGTAATTATTTTGATAAAATTAGCAATTTGAATGATTTAAAAATTGAACTAATAATTTAATAACAATTCGGTTATTTTACCATAATTCCTTAGAGTATGGTACTAAAATCATTTATCCGGTTAAACATGCTTTTCAATTTTGCACTTTTCACTAAATGTGTGATAATAAGTACCGTGACAAGTTTACTAAATGTGTGATAATAAATTCCGTGACAAGTTCACTAAATATGTGATAATAAGTTACTAAATGAGTGATAATAAGTACAAAGATAGTAAAAAATTTGCCTACCGCCAATTTTGAGTACCTTCAGCTTGTGTTATGTTAGGATGTATTTGTTTGGGCTTTCGTTTTTAGATTTGAGAGAAATTATGCAACATCTTGCGATTAAGTATATGATTTGAAATTATACAGCGGCCTAGGCCAATAGGCCCATACGCCAAATACAATGGATCTATAAAGTATATGATTTCAAACCTAGTCTAAAAACATATTTCTTGCCATCACGTAAAATTATTCTATTCATTTGATTTAGACATTATTCATTAAAAAAAAGCAACTTTTTAGCACATTGTTTCATCAATATTTTATTTGATTTTAACAGTAGTTGAACAGCGGACCCAATTTTAGATTTACGACTACTAATGTTCAACTTCGTAGCCCAGTAATTTTGAAACCAATCCTGAAAACAAGGGAGCTCCTGTATCAAGTATTGGGAGAAATTGCCTTCGGGAAGAACTTTTTGATGGAACTAACCCGCATTTGCGTTACATGAAGAGAGAAACCACGAAAGCCACCAATTATTATCCTGACGGCAAGGGGACTCTAACCCATGATCCGTCAACCACTGACATTTTTCTACGTCAGCACTGTGGCCGGTGCAAGCCGGATTCGGAATTAGTACTCTCTCATCTACATGAATTTGAGAGAGCTTTAAGCCATTACAGGGTACAGAACACTCAATTCCTTACAATAACATCTCAGTACACTAACCTCTGTGCTCGCCGTAATTCATAAAATATTTTTGATGTAAAAGTACCTTGATAAAAATGCTATTTTTAAATTTAGTTTTTAATTAAAAATTTTTATTACAATTCTAGTCCATTTAGATAGTTTTTTTTCCCTTCACATAACGCAAAAAATAAAAGCATCTTCTTTACCATAAGCCACTAAGTATCTCACGACATCTACGTTTCCTATAAAGGCTGCATGGTGAAGAGCTGTTCGACCATCATGATCTTTCAGCATTAAATTCTGTCCTTCATTATGCAATCTGGCAACCTGGTAAAATAAAATAACCACAATTCTTTTTTTGAATCTCTCGCTAATTTGAAAATATTATGCAAAATATATTATGCGAAATACATTTTACTTGCGAGTATAAAATAATCTGACTTCGATTATTGGCTATTAGAGAGATAGTTATAGCAAACGTACAATATCTTCACTAATACAAATATTTATTAAAGTAAGTCACATATAAGAAGAATATTATGCTATTGTGCATAATTTATATATGAAGCTGTATTTTCAAAAGTAATTAGATAATTAGATAAAAAACTGTTTTATAAAGTGCATAACAGTTTTTCATTTCATACAATAAATACCATTCATTGTTAATTTCTTGAATTAAAATTACCTGATCCAAATATCCCATCTTTGCAGCTGCTATTATATCTGGAAAATAAAAATTATATCTTACTTTATTTGGATAGATAAATTTATAAATAAAAGTTTCTGTCGATTAGTACTAAAAATTCATTATTAAATGTTGTACGCATAGTACTATAATTAAATAACAATAAAACACTAGTTTTTTTTCTTTTTTTAAAAATAATCAGTTTTATATCTAATTTTTAATCTAGTTCTAACACCTACCACCCCGATTCTACTCATTGGTTGGCTGTAGAGTAATTTATTTAGAGCATTTCAAACATGTAAATAGAGAACATAATCTGAAAAAAATGTATATCTAACTTGAAAAAATATTAAGTTGTCTAGTTTTTGTACGAATTCAATGCCAAAAGAAAGGTTTCCTTTTTTTTAATTAGGAAACGAATTTTTTTAAATTATCTATAATAACAATTTTTCTTACTGCTTGAAATGTTTTAATTTGTTCTAATAAATGCCTCGTCAGTTGATACAAATTGTAGACATAGTGTCAGTTTTCGTATGAATTGCCATTCCAACTGATTCCAATGAGAAAGCAATGAAGTCTATCTTTCACTGTGTTTGTTAACTGTTTCAGGACCGGCGGAATAACAACGAAGCGTTTCCCTTAGCCTACTTGCTCTGAGTTTATGCATATTAATACGAGAGTACCGTATTGAGATCACATCCGTGTGATCTTAGGTCACTAGAGTATAGAGTCAGAAAGGCTCGTATTATATATGATACCGTGAGCTAAAAATGGAGAATCACGCAATCACTAATGCGAGATTATCGTATTGAGATCACATCCGTGTGATCTTGGTCCTCACTAGAGTATAGAGTCAGAAAGTCTCGTTTTATATATGATACCTTGAGCCGTGTATGGAGAATCACGCGATCACTAATGCGAGAGTATCGCATTGAGATCACATACGTGTGATCTTGGGCCTCTAGAGTATAGAGTCAGAAAGGCTCGTTTTATGTATTATACTATGAGCCGTGAATGGAGAATCACGCAATCACGTATATGTGATCACGGTTCAGAAGGGGCAATCTCTCTCAAGCAGTAGTTTCATTAAAACAGTTGAACCTTCTTATAGTCTGAGATTGGTGCCCAGTGTGAATCACCTGTATCCTAAGTGGGAATAACGCTATATGGACGTTAGGCGATTCAGCAACGGCAACGACATTTAATGAAAGGACATGGCAATTATCTAGTATGAAATGATAATGCAATAACTCACAGATAACTTATCAAAGTGCCAATTATTTAGAGAAATGGAAGAATTTTCGACCTTTAAAATGATATAATAAAAATTTTTCCCATAACCCCCCCCCCATATTATAGCATTAAAAATTTATTTCTTTATTTCTTTAAAAAACAAAATACCTTGTTTTTGGCATTGCTCTCAATATACCCACAATGCACTTTTAAACGAAACTTAAGATATAATGGTCACGCAATGATCTCAATATAATGGTTATACTTGGAAAAATGGTACAATGTCGACAATACAGTGGCACGCAATTCAATTATTTTATTATACTTCTAAAAGCATTAACCTAAACAAAATAGCTCCCAAAATGAGTTTATTTTATAGTAACTTTATTAAAGTCAAACCAACTATTGTGAACGCGGTTTATAGTGAACTCCCGAATATAGTGAACGAAATGTTTGCTCCCGTGCCTTGCTTGCTACACACGTATAATATTACTTTTCATGGATATAATGAACCAAAAAAAGAGAGTAAGTGGAATATTATGAACTTATTTCTGTCGCTCGACTGATTTGTTTCCTTCATTCTTTTTGTATTACTTTGAAATTTCTGCTTCAAAATAAACACATATACCGATTTTTAAAACCATCTATAGCATGGAATGCAGCAATAAGTATTTTTCTTGTTTGCTCCATTATTGAATACCAATTTTGAATTAGTTCAGCATTCAAAGAAGCCGCAATCTTCCAGTATCTGGACAAATGCTTCAAGTCAAAGCCGATGAATTTGTTGAGCGATTTGGTGAGACTAATTTTACGCGCTCGAATGGCTGGTTAGACAGGTCTAAAAAGCGGAATAACAAAAATTCAGGATAAAATTATCGGAGAGTCTGGAAGTGTTTCCGTATCTGATGTTGAGGATTGCTCATCGGCTGAAGATTCCTAATTTTTTTTTGTACTCAAGACGAAGAGTAATAAAAAATAAATTTAAACACATTTTTTTGTTACTACATATAATTTTTCAGTCATTTTTGTAGTTCATTTTATTGGTCATTTATTTAAATAATGTGTAATAAAAGGAGGAGTTTGGAACCAATAGTTAAAATTGCTTGCGGAACTGATGCAGTGAAGTCCCGGTTATAGTTAACCGAAATTTCAGTCTCTTGAACTTTCACTATAGCTAGGTTCGACTGTATAAAGAAACCAAAAAAATAATAGTAATTGCAATCTAATCAAGTTTTCAAGCGATCAAACTAAGTTTAAAACATTATCAAATATTATTTCTAGGAAAACTTACTGTTTCTTAATTGTGCTTGCGAATTAAATTTTCAAATTTCCTTATAAATCACATTTCAATTTATGTCCATCTAATACATTTTATAGAAAAATAATATTTCACGTACCCATATCGCTCATATCAATTCCTGGATCTGGTTTTTCTTCAACTTGTGCAGCATCTTCAATTATACCCCTATAAAAATATTGCATATTTTATGCATTGTATATTAATTATATTTAAAATTTGTGACGTAAAGCGTAAAAAATTAAAATACATATAAGTTGGTTGGTAAGAACACTTAGGTATAATAACATGTGTTGAGTTTATTTTAAGGAAATAGTATATTACCGACAAATACAAACGTTTTTCTTTCAACATAATAAAAAGTTCTTCAATTTTCACTTTTCATCGTGAATATTTTAATATCATCAGTGTAAATTACATTTAAATCTACTCTAATTAAATTTCTCATATTTAGAAAAAAATAAACTATTTAGACAGTTTTATATTCTATTTGCAATGTTGAAGATCAGAAGTTAGCAAAAACTAATACTTTCTGTTCGTAGGAACTAAAGTCCAACGAGGAAATATTGCTTCGAATTGAAATAACATATCATGCTTAAGGTAATAAAGTCAATCTGTGTTGTATTTGTCTTGTAAAATTAGACTTTTTCTTCGAGAAAATTCAAACTCAAGATCAAGGCTATAAATTCGATAACTTTTACTTCAAGTTTGACAAACTAACATTATGATTAAAAATTTCATTAAAAAATATTTTGTTTGTAAATTGGATGATTGAATTTTGTTTACAAATTAGTAAAACTCATATTTTGTTTATAAATAAGGTAAATAAATATTTTGCTTATAAATTGCATTAACTATAATATTATTCTAAAATGCTTTTAACTTAATTTAATTATATTAAATTCCATGTGCATATTTTTTTTTCTTCTGAAAGTTGGAATTTGTTTCATTTTGATATTTTCCCATTAGATATTTTCTTGTTTTCGTTAAAGTGATTGCTAAAGGAATGTGCTTATTTATTGATTAATTATTAATTGCTTCGCTGATTTAATCACTCAAACTAGGAATTTCCCAAATTACAGTATACGCACCAGTCGTTTTAATTAATTTTGAAATAGTTTTCTGTATTTACTTAGTTAATCAATATCTAACATAGTTTTCCCGAGTTCTGTTGCAATTATTACTTAGGGTAAGGAAATTAAAATTGAGAGTTTTTATGAAGAGAATTTAAATTATTTACGCTTTTAATTTTAAATGATACATATTAATTTATCCTTGTAAATAAGATAATATATTTGTTTTGCTCTAATAACAGCAATTAAAGCTTATGTTATCAGTATGTTTGATATCATTCGAAGAGGGACGAAAATTCAAGGAAATAATGTGTACTAAAAAATTCTTCTCTTGATTACAGTCAATGACCAGTAAAAAGACTTCCAGTCACTAACCACAGAAATAAATTTGTACCTGTAAAGTTTTCGCAATTTTAAGAATGAAGGTTTGCCGGAAAAATGTTCTTGTAAAATGTATGATCACTGAACGAAAATTAACGTTATGCTCGTAAAAAATAACTTCAGTTAGGGACTTGATATTGTTTGAGACTCAGGCGATTTGCTTGTCGAATTAAGACGACCCGTGGAATAAAACGAATATTGTAGTGCTGCCATCTGTCGAGGTTTAAGGAAGTTGTATGTTCGTAGTCCGTGGTCACCAAAACAGAGGGAGCGCGAGAAATATGTTCATTAGTCTTGATTGTTTTTTTAGCTAAGACTGGGCATGCATTTGACCACTGATATGGACTTATGTATTAGTATTTTGATGCTCTCGGTGCTCGATTAGTCGATAAATTTTTTGATGCTCTCATGTAAGAGAGCATCTTGAATCTAATTTTCAAGTAATATATAAATTCCATGAAAATTAGCGATCTAAAGATACTATTTTTGTTGAAGTTCATGACTATCACGGTCATTAGGCTCTTTCTGTCAAAGAAGTGAGCTGGTTATATAAATTGACGATCAACTGGGAGAGTATGCTTATATTTTGGTAAAGCGAATTTATCTCTATAAGTGTTCATGTTGATTTAAACTAAATATCAATCTCCAGAAATCACATGATGTATAAATTTCAAGCATACTAATGTCCCTTTAATTTACAATTTGCATTGTATATGTGAATGAATAGTGAAGGCGAAAACGGAACCCTAAAAATGCTATTATGCAAAATTTTGAGCATTCATAAGTTAATTTTATCATATTCCAGTCGCTTAAGATACTTTTCCTTCAAGTTCCACTATGCCATATTGCATCACTATTCCAGTTATTTTTATATTTAATATAAAAATCATAGAAAACTCCAAATCATTTAATAATTTCAAATATTTTCTTAAATCCACATGGAACTTTTGCGTGCTATATTGGATTCAATGCCTCGATTATTATCATTGAGGTTTAAGCTCATAATAAGCAACCCAACAAACCCTCGTATATAAACTCCTTAAGAAATCCGTATTAAAACTTTAAATGGAGTTTTTTTTTTTTACAAAACCTGACATTTAAAATAGTTCATAATGCGTTTCATAAATTATTAAAAAAGAAACTTTTTCCTGAATTCGATTACCGATTTTTTAATGAATTTAAAAAATTATAAGTAAAAACATGTCGTCTACGCATCACTCATCTGTTCAAAAACTCGTATATTTTAAAGGGAGTGGTTGTAGAGCATGCTATACATATAACTGCTCCAGAAATATATTTAAAAATATATTCTTGAATTGCTGTCCAGATGAGAATTTTAGTTTTAAATTAGCTTCGATTTTTTAATAATATATTTATTAAATTAAAAGATAAATATATTTTAAATATTTTAAAAATGAATTTTCTTAGAACTAAACTAAATTCATATCACATCTTGTAATGTAAGCTATACTAAATAAATAATTCGGAATATTTATTCAGCCATCGACAAAGATAAATCAAGTTTCGACACAAAAGTACGCTCGATTTGCTCCTCGAAGATAAGACGGAATACGCTTCTTTCAAAATTTCCAATATTTCTTATCTCGTTTGACGGTAGTAAATAATAATTTTTTTTTTGTTGAAGAGAATGAATATTTATCATCACCCGAAATCTCTGCTCCCTTGCGATTGCTGTCCTACGCTGGAGGAAGAACTAGACGCTCTGCTTACGTCATCACCATCAGGGTCGTTCTCGACTTTAACTGGAGCTTCGTCAATTGCTGCCTCTGCCAGAAACTCTCGCTGTTCAGCGATGAAAAGTTCTTGATCACATATGTCATTCACGTAGTATAGATGCTCCTGAGCTTCATCTATTCTAAAGAATTTTTGTCCGCTGCATGCTGGGATAACAGGAATAAAGAACATTTTGATGAAGTTGTTTGAATAAATAATAACGATGCTATTACATCTAACAGTTTCGCAGGGAGAGTTATTATTATCCAGATACTTGAAAAAGATATTTAAATGTTATGGATCTTATTTTGAAGGGAAAATTATTATAAAACAGTATATGATAAGCAAATGCAGTATTATGAAAGATGTTAATCTGTTGTATTTTGTAATGTATTGAACAATAGAATCATTCATAATTGATGCAATTTTAATATGGTGATATCGGCAAAGATTTTCTCAAATATTTGAAATATATTATCGATTTAAAAAATTATCCAGCCTGCAAACGGTATCGACTTGGGCCGAGGGTGCAAAGTGATTAAAAAGAAAAAAAAACAATCGACCATTACTTGATTAAAAACTTCATTGGCTTTTTGGCTTTAAATATATACAAAATAAAAATAACAATTGACGTGTTTCAATCCCTTAAAAAGCAGGCACCCATTTTCAAGACTTGACAGACATTAAAGAGAAGAAACGAAAATGATTTGAAATATAAAACGAAAAGTTTCCAACGAAAAATGGAGAAATGAAAGTGAGAAACAAAGCTAAAAAAATCACAGTAGCCGAGAGCTAAAAAAGATGGGAAACAAATCAAGAAGAGCCGCTGTGGCCAAGAGGATGAAATCAAGATAAAATGCATTTCCAAGCGCTATGGAGAGATGATGAGAAACTAATGTCGTTACCAAAGAACTCAGCATTTATTTGAATAAAACAAGATTCCAGGGTATCAAGATGAGCTAATGTGAGTGGGGTGGTAATAATATTGGCATTGCCAAATTTGAATTTTAAGCACTTGAAACATGCCGACTGTTATTTTCCAATTTGTATATTTTTAATCTAAGTAGTATCTAACTGTTTCAGCTTCTTAGGATTTTTTATTTAATACTTAGTAAAAAAAGGCCATTTTTAAATGCGTACGATTTACATCTGATTTTCATGAAGTATAATAAATGAAAAATACTATCCCCTACGCTTTAAAAGATGTATAGGATGATTAATATCTTGATGATTGATTGATATCTTTGAACAACCTTTAAAGTATCATGTTTTTCTGCCAATGTTCCACCTTTGTTTCTGCCAATCTGGAGCATTTTGTAATCAATTATTAGAAAACTCATCTACTTGAGAAATATTAATTACTGCACTGTATTATAAGATACTAAGTTATTATTGGGTAGAACTGGGGTTCCTTTCACAATAACTGCTTGAATTTCAAATTGATGGGGACCAGCTTATTTGCACTGTCGGACACCAGGATCAAATTACGATAGGGTACTCAAGGTACTGGTACTTTTTTACCATTAAATCCATTTTTACGAAATAAAATATCTAAAGTGCTAAAATATTTATAATACTAATAATCGTCAAGTCACTAAATCACTCTAAATAAGTAAATATTATTGTAAAATTTAAGATATAGTATCTTACGGTTGAAATAGATTTTACGAATGTTGCATTCAAAGTGCTGGTACTTAGTACCGTAATTCAATCCGGAACATTTTTTTAAAAGTGTTGAACCGGATTTCTTTTCTGAATAGCAACTTAAATTTCGATCAACTTCATATGGAGGAGTAGCTGCTTATCTAGGAAAGTAATTGTTATCGATACATCTTGCTCACTCTATCATACTATTGGCTACGAAATTGTGAACCCTTAAGGTTCATAATCCCGTGATTCGGTATTTCAGAAGTGCTTTTTTTATACTGTATTATTTATTTTATTAATTTTCAAAAACGACTGGAAGAATTTTCCTTACAAGTTTAAGAACGAAATTTGTATGTCACATTGCAAAATTTGGGAAAAAAGTGGTTTAAAAGTTCATAAAAACTAAAGAGTTAAAAATATGAATTTTGATGTATTTCAAAGGATTACTATTAGTTTCAATGACAAGTTACTCTGCAGATATTAATGTGCTTTAAATTATATCAGCTTTGACGTTTACATTAATTTACACGATTGAAATTTAATGTAAATTTACACAATTGAAATGTTTTGATTAGAAAGGAATTTACAATCCAGAAACCACCAGCTTGAAGTTTTTTTCTTCGGTTGGTTATTTCCTTGTTCTCTTTCCTGTAAGAGAAACAATTAAAATTTATGTATTAATAAATAATCAAGAAAAAATCAAATATTCAATTGGATAATTTCAATACAAATGGCAAAACGTTAAAACTTTTAATAGAGTCTTAAAATCGTTCTAGAGAAATGGGGGAGAAGTGCCAGAAGCACACAAAATTTCCTCTTTTCAAGAAGATTCATTAAAATTTTTAAATTTTCAATTTGATGTTAAAATATATAAAAATTTATTTTATTTAAACCAAAATGTTACATTATCTAAAAGCATGCGTAAGATTTGTTAAGTTTTGAGAGAGTTTATATTTCTAGAAAAGGGATTTCAGGCTGTGTGTTTACTAAATTTCTACGGGTGTTTCATTTATAATGAATAAGAAATTAAATATCAAATAATAATATTTTTGTTAATTTCACATAAGAATGAAGTACATATGATAGTATGCAATCAAGCAGTATAATTTTTTTATAATATTTAACTTGTGATAAGACTTCAACAGATTTTTATAGTTCAAATATAGTTAAATTTTAAAAAAAATTATTGTTACGTATTTTCTACAGTGTGAAAATGAATAAGTGAGAAAAAAATTTAGCAGTACTGTTACTTTACCTAAATTAATTTCACATTATTATTTTTAAAAGAAAATATTGCCACGATAAGAGAGATTTTTCATTTTCTAGGTTTTTTTATCTTCATAAAAAGAAATGTCCCAGTCATATTAGTAGGTAGAGTTTCATAGTTACTTGAATAAGTTTTTTTTGTTTAAAAGTTTTTCATTTAATTAACCTAACTACCTTTTTTAAGCCGATTATGAATAAAAAATTATCTTTCAGTTTTTTTACGTACGTAAAATAAAACTATGAACTTTAGCCTTTCTAAAATTGGTTGAGTTTCTTTTTTATTGTCAAACTGAACGGAGGTTATGATGATTTAAAAAAAATCATTTGTTGTTGGCTACTACATTCATAATTCTGCCTTTTTTGTTTTTATCCTCAAAAATAATTTTTCGGTTATTGTCTTTCATTTTGAAAGCCATATCGCAAAATGTTTTAGTTCGAATTACTTGAAATTTTGCATGAATATTTTCTAGGGAATAGAGTACGAACTAGTTGATTAAACTATTATTTTACATTTTGCAGTTAAAATAACTAATTGCGATTCTTTTTTTTGCCAAATAAATTTATATATTTGATCCAAAATTGCTAAATATTAATATTACATCTAGCTTTGTCTTGTCCCTAAGTTGAGTTTTTATAAGTATCATAAAGAAAGAGTAATAAGGAAATAATAAATTTCTACAAATCTATGTAAGGTTGAAAAGAGGTCAATTTTTGGTCTTTCTTACCTAGTCCCCCGCCCCCATAGTTTCTGAAACAAAGTTGCTGTTTTTTTCTTCTGTGTTTATTCAACGTTTTAGTGTAAAACACTCACAGAAATCCAAATAAAAAATTTCTAAACTAAAAACTTCGGCGGTTCTAAACTAAAAACCTCCAAAGGTGTTCGGGTACCTTAAACGAAAAGCATTTAATTCCTTCACAGTTTCCTTCTTTTTTTAAAAAATGCTGTGTCTGAAATTATGATCAAATAATAAGTTTTACAATGTCATTTTGCTCAGTCCTTTTTCAAAATTTTTAATTCAAAAACCTTTAACGAAGCAAGAGCAAACACATGAAGTGAGAGATAAGAGATTAAATAGTGATTAGTGCAGATGCAACTAAAGTTTAAAGTAGTTTTTAATTCATGCTATCAAACTCAAAAATTTGTTTGTATTTAATATAAGTTCATCTGTAAGTGCGTTAAAATGAAAGTTATAAAACTAGGTGTCAATGCAAAATTAAGTTGCAGCAATCTAATTTAAGCATTGATTCAAATGAATTTTTCAGTTCAAGAAGTTTTACCTGCTCCTCAAATTTTTTGTCTCTTTCCTTCAATAGCTCGTTAATTTGTGATCGAATTTCTGATAAGTCAGTGTTATGACTAACGCTAACATCACCCAAAGGAAAAGCTGAAATAAAAAAATAGTTAAGTATGTCTGTCATCTTACTAAAAAAAATTTTACTATGAGATAGTTTATTAAATTGCAATTTCATTTTTAATTAGAATCTCAGCATTAACACAACTTCAACGTATTCAAATTCAATAAATAATTTTAAACGAATCTGTTACAATTCGATAATTAAAATTAGGGTTATTTATCAATAATAAAGGGAATTTATCAATTATTTTATCAATGACTTTACCAATAATTTTCACTGAGAAAAAAAGTATGGTCAAAACTATCAGAATGAGTTAAAATTTATCGTGTTTCTGGCTCTATGGGTAATTTTTACCAAAGCGCTTTGATAATGGTATTGGCAGAACTAACAATAAATACGGTTTTGTGATATGCAATAGAATTTTTTTAAAGTGGAGGTATTTAGTAATTTTATTAATATACAAATCAGCAATGCATAAAAACCATTTATTTGGTTTAATTTACATTTCAGTTTTGTATTTTTAACTAAATATGAGGTAATTAGAAAGACAATTTTGAAAAGAATAATTTCTAATAGACCACTAACAAATGAACAAAAAATTTATCAAATGAATAGTTAAAATAAATTGGTTTTAATCTCCAGAAATATGTTTTTTTTTCTTTCAGAAATGTCATTACCATGCTGTACGGCTTTTTAGACACTATTTTTTCTTCGTGTATTAATTGATCTTATTTTTCTTTACTAATGTAAAGAAAAGAATACATGTTGAAGTTTTTTTTCCCTTTTTTTGAAAAACAAGGTTATTGTTACTAACAAATATTTTAGAGTTCTATTCTCAATTTCTTTTTAAAAAGAAATGAGTTATTAAATTTGTACAGATTTTTTAATTAATACATTAAAGCCCATCGAGTTATTAAATTTTTCTTTCCTTAAAACGGAGCATGTTTGAAAAAAAATTTAATTTTCAAATTTCAAAAAATACACCGTATGTGAAAAAAACTAGTTAATAAGTAAAAAACTAGCAGTAACATATAAGAAAACTCTTAACACACTGTTATTAAAAACTGATTTGAAATCGAACATACAAATTATATCACACGGAAAAGTTGTTGCTCACTTCTTAAAAATATTTTAAGGCTTAAACAAACAATGGTGGTTAAGTTATATAGTATGATTCTTAAAACTTTTAAGGAATTAACTATTAAAACTTTTAAACTACTAAAGAAAGAAATTTCAGCAAAAAAAATTTTGTTTTGACTTTCTAAAATTTTGCTTCCTTTGAACTTTTCAATTTTGCTGCTGTTACTAAGCAATACAAGTTAACAGGATTCATTCTCCTTTTGTTCACGAGGCAAATTTTATGTTTGTTTTTCTCAGAGTGGATTTATAACGGTGATGTTGTTTTTCTGTGAATTACAATTTTCATTGAGAGTTTTTCGCTCATTTTAGAAATAATATTTTTTTTTATCAAGAGAAAATATTTTTTAAGAATTATTATTATTATTGTTAGAGTTAACATTGCTATTTGTTTATTTAAGGAAAAAAGTTTCAACTTTCCCCTGTGTAAATTAATTCCTTTCTGTACGAAAACAAATTGCAAAAGAAAAATGAAAAGGAATAGTTATAAATTTTTTTCTTTTGAAAAAACTGAAGAAAAAAATCAGCACAAATTAAAATAGCATTTTTTAATTAAAATATTTTTCGTTTGGTGAAATAGTTAAAAGAATTTTTAAGCTGACATAATTATAATGATACGATTTTCAAAGTTCTTTTAAAAATTTTTTTTACCATCTTCAACTAAATTAGCCTTCCGATGGTGTTCTTCTTCATATTTTTGCAATGACAGTAATTTCAATGGAAGACTAACTTTTTCGACGTTCTCTCTAAAAGTATAATATATAACTTTAAATAATAATGTAATATAACTTTATAATGAAAAAAAGAAAGTTTTAAAAGAATGCTTTGAGAACTTGGAATAATTTTTAGAAAGAAAAAATTAACATTTATGAAATAAGTTCAAAATTTCTACAATTAGCAGCAAATACATTTGGAAGGTCATAAAAATGATCGCTTTTATAAATGATAAAAATATTTCTAATGGGAAAATAAAAAATATGGGTCAAAAAAATTATCATATTTTCTACTTCTTGTGTGTTTGCAAACGGGGTAATAATAGTAAAATAAAATTATAACTTTATACATTACGATTTCTGAATTCGGTAAAAAGAGAGACTGATACTTAAAAATTTTATAACCATCAATTTTATGTTTTTTTTAATGGGGTAATAAGAAACATTGGTTGTAAAAATTATTATAATTTCAACTCTTTGGGTGTTTCCAAAGGGGGTAGTAATAGTAAAATTAACTAATAATTTTATTCACGAATTCTAAATAGGGTAAAAAGAGAGACTGACGAAAATCGAAACACATTATCTACCAAATTTTATGATTGTTCCTAAATGAAGTAATAAGAAACATTGGTTATAAAACTAATATAACTTCAACTTTACGGGTGCTTGCGAATGGGGTAATAATAGTAAATGAATTATAACTTAAACTTCATGACTCCAAAATGGGGTAAAACAAACGGGGTATAATGAAAGATAATAGCTTTAAAGATCAAGCTCTGAAATGGGGTAATAAGAAACATACTCCTAGATAATAATTTTTTTTATAAATTATAACTTTTAACTGTATGGGTGTTCTAAATTCTCAAGTTCTGGATGTTCTTTACGGATCACACTCACAAGAATTTAAAATAAAACTGTTTAATAATTAAATTATAGTCAGTAATTAGGGGGCTATACCACTCTAAATATATTCTTTTTTGGAATGTATCATTTCATATATTTTAAAAGAATATACATCGAAAAGTTGCTTAAAAATATTGATGTATATTTTGGAATAGTTATTGCTGATTAAGTCTCTTTCGTCAGTCAAAATATAAACTCAGAGAGTTAATTTCCTTGTCTTTTTTGTATTTATTTAATTTCTTCAATTGAAAAAAAAAATATTTTTGTCAACTCCATTTTTATTTCTAAATGGTGATGAGAAAAAGAATCGCAAATCCCTGATTGATAGTATATCATTATTAATATCCCCAGTACAATACAATATTTTAACAATTATATTAAAGCTTATTACTTACTTTTTTGCTGATGTCCCATGACTCTGGTTATGCGTGAAATAATATAGATTTTAAACTATTATAAACACTTAATCGCTATTCTAAGATGATTTTTTTACCTTTATTAGTTTTTATACACTGTTAGAATTTTCGTCCTAAAATTATGGTAAAATTTTCGGCAGCAATCTGCCCATCCAATTAACTACAAAGTTTACGGTAAAGATCAATTTTTATCTTTACAGTTTTGAAACCGTTTACAGCTACTATGATCATAAAACCAAGAATACAGAACTATGCGGTTTTTCAACCATTTACAACTAGCATGATTTCCAAATGGCAAAATAGAAATTTAACTGCACATTGGAGCAAGGCTTTTTGTTAAGTAATGGGCATTGGAGTGGGCAGGAAAATGGAAACTCCTCATGTGTTGAAGGGAATGGAGGAAATATTGCGGTGTCAAATCTCGGACACGAACCCCCGTTCTCTCGGCCATGAGATTGACAAATTTGCTTTCTCATCTATAATATCTACCCATCATTAAAAAATTAAGTTGTTTCATCAGGTGAGCTTAGTTTGTGCGATAAAATTCCAGTTGTTTAACCGTTTTAGGTGAAAGCAGTTAATAAACGGTTTTCCTTACAGTTAACAGTTTGAATGTCATCTTATTTAAGGTTATTTAACTGTTTCGCTTGATAAAATAACAATTAAATAAATTGTTATTTAAACACTTTTTCGAAGAAATTTCTAACAGTGTATTTAAAATATAAAATATAAAATATATATTAATGCACGGAAGAAACTGCGGTATACTATTTCTCCAAATTTGCTGCTTTAACAACACAAAAATTGAGCGAAGGAGCAATATTAGCAATAAGTGCAGTAAAATTACTGAAACACTGTAATTATATAAATATAACAATTATGGTACAAAATTGTACTTTAAAAATAGTTATTAAGGTAATAAGGAAATACGGATGTTGCCGTACTTTTTCCCGTGATTAGATCCGACATGTTTTTCAATGTTTTGAGCTTAGTTTGAACTGTCCTTTATTCTGTGCTACCTGGAAGTTTGATTAATAAATTAATTATATTTTAATAATTAGCGTATATATGCATTATAAGTTAATAATTCTTTTTTATATTATCTCGGAAAAATAATTTTAGTGAGTCTTAATGTAGCATATCTTACTGTAATTATAAATATTAATGTTACTGAACACAAAAGCATGGTGGCAACTACTTTACATCAAGTAGTGCGAAGCGACATTACTCGTTTTCCAGATCAGCGTTTATGGTGTGTAGTAGTTGCTACCATTTTTAGTGTAAAAATACGCAGAATTTTTGCAGTGTAATTCATATACTATATATCCTTATTAATAATATTATTGCTACCATATCAGCCACTCTATTTGATAAATCACGAGATATTTGTCCTTTTCAAAAAAATTCAAAATAAAATTATGTATCGCCTTCATTTTAAAGATCACTTTTTCATCTAAAATATGCTGCAATTCCAGTGGAAACACAGTCATGACACACAACATTTTTTAATATAGTTTTTAAAAGTCAGTTAGTCTTAGAAAATTATAAATATTTTATGATTATTTCAAATAACTAATCATAATGATAAATGCAACAGTTGCCTTTAAATTAAGAAAATGCAAGAACAATTTAATTATCCTATCTCTAATTATTGTAATTTAATTGATAACTACTTTTAAGTAATTAGTAAGTATTTTTTATCAAAGGTAAACAGCATAACAATAATACAATAATAGTAATATCTGATCCTGGCTTCATTTACTTAAATTCCTTCGAATGGTAACTGTTAATTTCATTGCAAAATTAATAAAAGTTGATGAATGCTTACCTTTGTTTTAGCAATCATATTTACAGTGTTTAAAAGCTCTATATCAATTATGGACGGTGCAAGACGACATGGTTCTCCGTCTACTTGGACAGGAATGGTGCATGATGTGACTAGTTTAGCTCTCTTGCATTGAGCTATGGCTGAGCCATGACCACCAGCTTGTAGCAAAGGCTGTAAAATAATAGATGAATAAAAATTTTGATCTTGTATTTGCAAATATTTTATTCATTGTTGAGAAGTTTAGAACACATTGAATCATAGTAGCAGGCAAATTTGCTGTCACCTTAATACTGTAGATTTCTTATGTTCCTCACATTTACCAGAATACCTCACATTTTACAGATTTTTTAAAAGATTTAAACATCTGCAATTTCATTAGAAAAAATTCTAGTTGTGACTTCCTTTTCATCAAAAACAGCCAATGCCTTCTAAAGTTATTCAAGTTTGCAGAAAAAAGTGCTTTTCAGTTTTTCTTTTTTAATTTTTCATTTCATAGATAATTTTTAACGAACTACTTACCAATTGGTATGTGGTTAAACCGATGACTTCAATCATGCCATCATCAGTTCTTGGTGATTGAAAATTGTTTGATCCAGATGTCCCCCATGGTTTTGTACCACCTCCATAACTAAAATTAAAAGATAAAATATCATTTTAAAAAAATAACATAAAATATCAATTCGTACTGAAAAAGAAATATGGTCAAAACTACCAGAATATGATAGCCGTGTTTCTGGCTCTATGGGAACACCAAAAAGCTCGATAACTTTCACCCAAGTGTTTCAGTAATGATTTCAATAAAATTAAAAATAAATTATGATTTTCAAATACCTGATGAAATTCGGTAAATCTGGATAAAATTTGGCAATTTTATCATGATGTCCGGNTGACGAGTACCATGGGGGTGTTCTTCTTCATATTTTTGCAATGACAGTAATTTCAATGGAAGACTAACTTTTTCGACATTCTCTCTAAAAATATAATATAACTTTAAATAATAATATAATAATAATATAACTTTATAATAAAAAGAGAAGAAATTTTTTAAATAATGCTTTGAGAACTTAGAATAACTTATAGAAAAAAAATTTAAATTTATGAAATGTGTTAAAAATTCCTAGAACTTAACAGCAAATAGCATTTGAAAGGCGATAAAAATGGTCGCTTTTATGAATGATAAAAATGTTTTTGTCTTTCCGTTTTAGAATTTCTAATGGGAAAATAAGAAATATGGGTAAAGAATAACTTATCATATTTTCAACTTCTAAGGTGTTTGCAAGCTTGGTAATAATATTAAAATAAAATTATAACTTTATACGGAACGAATTCTGAATTCCATAAAAAGAGATACTGATAATAAAACATTTTATAACTATCAATTTTATGTTTTTTTTTAAATGGGGTAATAAGAAACATTGGTTGTAAAAATTATTATAATTTCAACTTTTTGGATGTTTCGAAAGGGGGTAGTAATAGTAAAATTAACTAACAATTTTAAACTTCACGAATTCTAAATGGGGTAAAAAGAGAGACTGAAGATAGTCGAAACACATTATCTGCAAATTTTATGGTTGGTTCCAAATGAAGTAATCAGAAACATTGGTTATAAAACTAATTATAACTTCAATTTTACGGGTGCTTGCGAATGGGGTAATAATAGTAAATGAATTATAACTTAAACTTCATGATTACAAAATGGGGTGAAACGATGAAAATATAATGAAAGATAATAGCTTTAAACATCAAGCTCTGAAATGGGGTAATAAGAAGATAAAAAAAATGACAAAAATATTATTACTTTCAACTGTATGGATGTTCCAACTTCTCAAGTTCTGGATGTTCTTTACGGATCACACTCACAAAAAATTAAAATAAAACTGTTTAAAATAAATTGATGTCAGTAATTATGGGGCTATTCCTCTCTAAATATATTCTTTTCCGGAATGTATCATTTTATATATTTAAAAGAATATACATCGAAAAGTTCATTAAAAATATTGATATATATTTTGGAATAGTTACTGCTCTTTCGTCAGTCAAAATATAAACTCAGAGAGTTAATTTCTTTATATTTTTTGTACTTATTTAATTACTTCAATTGAAAAAGCAACTTATTTTTGTCAGCTCCATTTTTATTTCTAAATGGTGATGACAAAAAGCATCGCAAATCCCTGATTGATAGTATATAACATCATTATTAATATCCCAATACAATAAAATATTTTAACATTTATATTAAAGCTTATTACTTACTTTTTTGCTGATGTCCCATGACTCTGGTTATGCGTGAAATAATATAGATTTTATACTATTATAAACATTTAATCGCTATTCTAAGATTTTTCCTTTATTAATTTTTATACACTGTTAGAATTTTCGTCCTAAAATTATGGTAAAATTTTCGGCAACATTTCCCATCCAATTAACTTCAAAGTTTACAGTAAAAATCAGTTTTTATCTTTACGGTTTTGAAACCGTTTACAGCTACTATGATTATAAAACCAAGAATACAGAACCATACGGTTTTTTAAACCATTTACAACTAGCGTGATTTCCAAATGGCAAAATAGAAATTTAACTGCACGTTGGAGCAAGGCTTTTTGTTAAGTAGTGGGCAGGATAGTAGAAACTCTTCATGTGTTGAAGGGAATGGAGGAAATATCGCGGTGTCAAGTCTTGGAACGAACCCCCGTTCTCTCAGCCGTGAGATTTGCCCCCTCGTCTATAATATCTACCCATCATTAAAAAATTAAGTTGCTTCATCAGGTGAGCTTAGTGCGATAAAATTCCAGTTGTTTAACCGTTTTAGGTGAAAGAAGTTAATAAACGGTTTTTCTCACAGTTAACAGTTTGAATACCATCTTATTTACGGGTATTTTACTGTTTTGCTTGAATAAGGTAAAATAACAATCAAATAAATTATAATTTAAATACTTTTTCCGAGAAATTTCTAACAGTGTATTAAAAATATGAAATATATAAATGNATTGAGTATATATATATATCTATGCAAAAATTGAGTGAAGGAGCAATATTAGCGAAAAATACAGTAACATTACTGAATCAGTGTAATTATATAAATATAATAATTACGGTATAAAATTGTACGGAAAAAATAGTTATTACGGTAATAAGGAAATACGGACGTGGCAGTACTTTTTCCCGTGATTAGATCCGGTATGTTTTGCAGTGTTTTGAACTTAGTTCGAACTCTCCTTTATTCTCTCTGTGCTACGTGGAAGTTCGATTAATAAATTAATTTTATTTTAATAATTAGTGTATATATGCATTATAAGTTAATAATTCTTCCTTATATAGTTTCTGAAAAATAATTTTAGTGAATCTTAATGTTGCATATCTTACTGTAATTATAAATATTAAAGTTGCTGAACACAAAAGCATGGTGTCAACTACTTTATATCAAGTAGTGCAAAGCGACATTACTCGTTTTTCAGAACAGCGGTTTTGGTGTTTAGTAGTTGCTACCATTTTTAGTGTAAAAGTACAAAAAAATTTTACAGAGTAATTAATATACTATATCTCCTTATTAATAATATTATTGATATCATATCAACTACTCTATTTAATAAATCACAAAACATTTCCCCTTATTAAAAAAATTGAAAATAAAATTATCTATCACCTTTATTTTAAAGATCACTTTTTCATCGAAAATATTCTGCAATTCTAGTGGAAGCACAATCATGACACACAAAATTTTTTAAGATACTTTTCAAAAGTCAGTTAGTCATAGAAGGTTAAAAATATTGTATGATCATTCCAAATAACTAATCATGATGATAGATGCAACAGTCGCCTTTAAATGAAGAAAATGCAAGACAAATTTAATTATCCTATCTCTAATTATTGTAACTTAATTGATAAGTACTTTTAAATAATTAGTAAGTATTTTTTATCAATGGTAAACAGCATAACAACAATACAATAATAGTGATATCTGATCCTGGCTTCATTTACTTAAATTCCTTCGAATGGTAACTGTTAATTTCATTGCGAAATTAATAAAAGTTGATGAATGCCTACCTTTGTTTTAGCAATCATATTTACAGTGTTTAAAAGCTCTATATCAATTATGGATGGTGCAAGACGACATGGTTCTCCGTCTACTTGGACAGGAATGGTGCATGATGTGACTAGTTTAGCTCTCTTGCATTGAGCTATGGCTGAACCATGACCACCAGCTTGTAGCAAAGGCTGTAAAGTAATAGATGAATAAAAATTTTGATCTTGTATTTGCAAATATTTTGTTCATCGTTAAGAAGTTTAGAACACATTGAATCATAGTAGCAGGCAAATTTGCTGTCACCTTAATGCTGTAGATTTCTAATGTTCCTCACATTTACCAGAATGCCTCACATTTTACAGATTTTTTAAAAGATTTAAACAGCTGCAATTTCCTGAGAAAAAATTCCAGTTGTGACTTCTTTTTCATAAAAAACAGCCAATGCCTTCTAAAGTTATTCAAGTTTGCAGAAAAAAGTGCTTTTCAGTTTTTCTTTTTTAATTTTTCATTTCATAGATAATTTTTAACGAACTACTTACCAATTGGTATGTGGTTAAACCGATGACTTCAATCATGCCATCATCAGTTCTTGGTGATTGAAAATTGTTTGATCCAGATGTCCCCCATGGTTTTGTACCACCTCCATAACTAAAATTAAAAGATAAAATATCATTTTAAAAAATAACAGAAAATATCAATTCATACTGAAAAAGAAATGTGGTCAAAACTACCAGAATATGGTAACCGTGTTTCTGGCTCTATGGGAACACCAAAAAGCTCGATAACTTTCACCCAAGTGTTTCAGTAATGATTTCAATAAAATTAAAAATAAATTATGATTTTCAAATACCTGATGAAATTCGGTAAATCTGGATAAAATTTGGCAATTTTATCATGATGTCCGGCATAAAATCGATTTATATGGTTAAATGTACTGTCAAGTTTTGAATTTTTACTAAATGTGTAGTAATTAGAGTATGATTCTGAAAACCATATGAACGGGAATCATTGCTAAATGAATGATTTAAATACTGTATATTTAGGTTTTATTAACTGGAATTTGGACTTCTGTTAAAAAAGGCCGGGGTTGTATACTCGACTCCGTTAAGTCCCACCGAGTAGATGCAATTTACACGCACAAAAAATCTGAGAATTGAAATTCATGTATTCGATCGCTGACGAGTACCATGGGCACGAAGATCTGAAGAAAGTTTCTTTCCCCTTCAGAAATATGTCAAAATTGTGAAAGTTGCCTTACGAATGAGTGGTGCTGCCATCTATCCGGGATGCTTTGAGATAAGACGTACTTTTACCTTTGTGGTGCTGTCTTTTTAAACGAAAAGCGCACCTTCCTGACTTAATTCGCAACAAAAAAAAGCCAATAATTGGCGTGCTTGCCTTGTCCAAATGTTATAAGAAAGAATACATGTTCTTTTACCAGAGAATGTCTATACAACACATAAAGGTGATTCCAACAGTATTTTTTTTTCTCTGTGTAGGATATAGTTCTTTAAAAAAAATGCTACTCATTTTTAATTTGAACTAAAAAATTCCTCTTATCCATAAATATTTATAAACTTTTAATACTAAAATTAATCCATAAATGAATAATAAATTTTAATATGTTTTACTAAAATATTTAAAACACCAGTACTGATTTACTCTCCCTCACAGTTCAGGTTAGCTCTTCAATTTTACGCACGGTAAACTAAAGTTACCCAAGCTGAAATCTCAATCCCTTTTCTATTTTTACATTGTGTCTTTTTTACAAAATTTAAAAACACATTCCCTAGATTTCATTCGTGCTGTTTTTTGATGTAGCAGTTCCCAATATTTTTCATCGTTTCTAAAAGTAAACCAAAATACATAGTGTTACAAAATGGATCTTACTAGGAGAATACTACGACTGATGGAAACATAACCGAAAAACAATTTTCTCCGATTTAAGTTCTCTTCCAAAAAAAAAAAGCGTTGCCAATTTTTGCATCAAAAATCGACAAATATTTCCAAACTTTATCGCATTTCAGAACCTATTTTTGCTTCCTTAGAACTCCATTCAGAGAATGTTGCCTACTTAGACGTGCAGAAAAATAATGTTCTCCGAAAATCTGAGCTTCAAGCAAAATGTAAATAAGAAACTTTATTACTTTTTGCTTTGATAACGTTGCAGGCTTCAAAACACAAAATACTCCCAGTTCAGGATATTGAATTTTCAAGATATTTGAAATTTTCAGAAATGTCGTTTTATAACTATAGAGTTCGAAATTTCGAAGCATTTGGAAACTCAATGAAAGAAATTGAAAATAATTTAACGCCTAACTTTTCTTTCCGCTTCAAAGAATTTTGATTTCGTGTATGAAAACTAAAATGAGAAGTTGAACATAGCTTTACTTAAGTTCTTTCAATTTCAGACATATCTGATTTCGTTTATGAAAACTAAATTTATCTATTGAAAGTAATTTTACATCAAACTTCTTTTTTATCATAGATATATATCATTTTGTTCATTTAAAAGAAACTTGGCTAGTGAAATAGTTTTTTGTCCAATATCTTTCTATCTCAGATATATTCTGTTCATGAAAATTAAACGAATAAAAAATTAAAGTGGGGTCGGGATAACCTGATTGGCAGGGCGCTGGACTCAGGTTCGTGAAAATGGGAGTTCGAATCCAGACTGGCAAGGACTCTCCGTGTAGTAAATTGTAACTGGTGCACGTTAAATCTGTCGGGTCACAAAACCCACTATGATTCCATAACAAATTACGCCTCTGGGGATACTGAATTGGAGATTGATTGTTCTCTGGTTCAGGTCAAAATTACGATCTGTGGATGATTGAATGGATGCATGAATGGGTCCGCACTATAAACTGGTGTGACGTATGAGTGTGTCAGAAGGTGAATTATTAGCCATAGATGACGCCACTGGAAGAAAAGAACAATCGCACACCTTGCCTTAATGACCTACGACAATAATAACGAATTAAAGTAATTTTACACCAAATCGATATCGTTCATGAAAATTAAAGAAGTTGTAAAAAAAATTTTGCGCAAACTTTTTTCTAACTTAGATATGTGATTCCGTTCATAATTTTTTAAACTAAGTTTAAAAATAATCTAGCTCCCAGGTTTTTTCTTTCAAAATGTATTTGACGCCGTTCTTTAAAATTTAACTTGAAAATATTTTTATTAAAACTAAATTAAACATCGAAAATAAATTCATGTTAACTTTTTCCAATTGTATGATGTATTGAGTTTTATTTATGAAACATCAATTTATTTTCTTGTCAGTTTAGGTTTGAAAATTATTCCTAGAATACTTTCACGACGTGGTATCGGTTATTTTTTGTATCATACAATCCTATCTCAATTTAAAAGTACTTTGGATCATTTTACCTGCAATCGTGATGTATATTTGAATCAACTTTATCATTTTAATCTTCTTTATTTAAATCATTTTATCTTTGTTATCAATAGATTCCTCAATGAATTGAATGCAGTTTTATTTTTAGAAGCTTATCTTTTGAAGCAATGAATTTTAAAAAAAATACAAGGTGCTCGCGACGACAGCTTTTAATATAAATTTATAAAATTCTTTTCAAAAAGAAATTTTGAAAAATGCATTTGCTAGAGTTCAGAAATAAATGTTTAAGCTGGAAACAAGAAAGCGTTATAGATATCTTACAAATTATTACTGTGGAAAGGGGGAATGAAAACGCCAAAACTTATTTTATAGCTGACGAAATTAGAGACGAGTTCAAATGCGATTATTAGAATTTTTGTCCTGCTATGAAACATGTTTTTAAGTTTTGTGATCCCGTTATTTACAGTAATAATAATTTGTCAGATTTCAATAGATTTTCTTCTTCTTTTTCGCCTCAAAATTAATTCTTTTTACTCTATTTTTATAAACAATTCTATAAGTATTTATTTAAGGCAGTTAGCATGGATAAAATAGAAATAAATTGAAAAATAAGATTCAGGATATTGTCTACTATACGTCCTGAATAACGGAAAATACAAAAGAGTCTTTCCGAAAGTCAAATATATAACCATTATTATATCCATATTATAACCCGTACATATTTAATGGGAATTAAAGTAAAAAGTTAAATTTTAAAAATGTTTTGAAATTATTGCTTCAGAGCCTGCGTTTAAAAACATTTGTTGGTTATTTTACTTTCGGAAATTTTTATTTATAAGGAGGATTTTATTTGTTTGGTTTTTGCGAAAATGATAGATAAGAATTTACAAAAGTATGCTTACATTTTTTGCCCTCGTGAAATAAAATGTCACTGATAGATTTGAATAGGACGTTGCTTTGGGTTTTTTTTTTCAGAGGACAGATTTTTTTTCAAGAGTGAATGAGTTTTTAAAAATACCTACTCCATCAATATTTCAATAATTATTTATAAAAACGTACAAAAATATTGAAATAAAATAATTGAATTTTGAAATGAGTATACATTCTTATATTCTGCATTTTAACTTGCAATATTTTTCTTAAACCCTCAAATAAATTAAATTTGAAGTGTTTATGAATTAATTAAATATAATTTAACATTTTAAATTTAGAAAATATTTGCATCAACATTTTCTTACCTTGAAATGTTTAGAAATAATATGGAATGAACCTTTAATTCTCTCAGCTTATGTGTCATGTCTTGTCCATCACACTGTAAAAACAAGCATTATAACCTCGGTCATTAAATATTTGGCTAAATAATTCAATAAGATTTATGCAAAAACATTTATGATAATTTCAATTTCTTTCAGAAAGGCATGAACAACTTCGTACATTTCAATGGAAAAAACCCAAATTAGCCTGAAAAGTAAAGGTGGGAAATATCGACATGTTTTGAGCGCTCAAAACAGATTATTATCCACCAGCAAGAAAGAATATTGTATTTCCCGTTTCATCACTGTTGGTACTTTTAAAAAAGTAAATCAACTTCCAAATTGATGCTAAAAACTTGGCTTCTTTTGTTAAATAAAAATTCGATGCATGGACTCAAAGAAAAATGCATTTTGTTCGAGCCCATTATATCAAATACGTACTTTTTTTTTAACCTTTTAACGAATAATTTATTTCTGGAAAGAATGAATTAATATATTTGTGAAACTATAACTGATATCAGAAAAGAATTAAGAATTTAGATTTGTTAGATAAAATTTATTCAAATTTTGACACAAATTTTTGTGGTAATTTTCTTTACCCCCGAACATTAAGTGTTATAAAAAATTGGGAATTTAATGAATTTTACTTCTTTTTAATTGGAAAAATTTTTTATGAATGCTACAAAGTAAAGAAAGAATTATATTTGTAACTGTGATGTCATAAAAACGTTGCATATTTCCTAGCTTTTTAAATTTCTTAATTTCATAAACTGAAATTTTTAATCATTCTTAATCTCGTTTTAATTAAGTTAAACAAATTATTATTACATTTACTATTTTTTATCACATTTTATGAAGAAAATATAAATATTTTATTTTCTTCTTAACAATCAATGTAACGGCTAACATTTTAATTCAATACAAATGTAAAGTTTACTAATTTACTGTCACAACTAAATCGAACATCAAATTCTATTTACATCCCTTTACATCTTAAGTTACTTTATTTTTTTTCCAAAAAATGTTGTAGTTACAGGGTTATATTAATTCTCACTGTCTTTTTAGTAATTAAGCTATAGTCAAATTATTTCAAGTTTAATATTAATTACAAGGGGTTGGCTAAGATTTTGGCTATTTTATATTTCGATAAATCGCCAACTAAGGATGTCTTCCTATGCTTTTAACTGTCCGTTGGAAATAATTCAATCACTTTCAATTTCGAATTCTTTGTGTTAGGACTGGGTGGTTTCAGCAAATTAACGGTCTGACCGTTAATTTACTTAACGAAATCTTCTCCAGGTTAGAATAATGCATCTGTTAATCCCAATAAGGGAGCATCCTTATATTGTGAGACCTTAATGTATCTAATAATAATGTTTCTAGACAAAAATAAACCAATAATTATTTTTTTTATAATTTTGTTCAATTCTCTAAATTAAATCCCTATGTCGTAAGAAGTGTAATTGTACCAAAAATCATTACTATTGGGTCCAAAATGTTCACAATAACTGCAATGAATTTTCAACTTCCAACAAATGAACGTCTTATAGATTATAGCGTTTATTCGCAAATTTATTCAATATTTCAACATAGTTTTTTAAGTTATTAACAAATGGAAACCCAAATTAAAAGTGGTGGATAGTCCACCATGAACGTATAAAATTGATAATGAAAATACAAACCACTGCCTAATAAAGGGTTAAAATATATAAAGCATAAGCCATATTCATTATCTTAGGTAATCATTTTGAGCTTATTCTATGCTTTAAAACATGTTTTTGAAACCTTGACAATTTTCTTAAACATGCAGTTTAATCTATGTCTAAACTCAAAAGCTCATTGACATCATTTTTAATAAATAATTTTTTTTCCAATGCCTACCCGATTGACACTCTTTCATCAATAGGACAAATTCACTCTTTCAGGGGCACCATAATAGGTGGGCAAACGTTGCTTCCACAGTAAGGACAGATAGTACAGAGAATGAAATGCCTTGACAGGGATTCAATCCCAGGACCTTTCTGGTGTGAAGTCAGCTTCTTGAGAACAATGCAGTCCGGTTGGCGAATTTGATAAATATGAATATTATGACCTTTACAATGGCTTTCGCCCTTTCTGTAAATATGGCTTTTAAACTTACACACATGTAAAAATTAAACATTTTTATGGCCATTAAGGTAATATTTATTGTATTATAGCCAAACAATGTATTTTTCTGTATTAAATTAAATCGTAGTCATAATTCATTAGTCATGCAATAAACTTCTAAACACATATACCAACACATAAAAGTTTTTCTTATATATATAATGTATTTAAATTTAAAAAAAAAGGAAATTTGATTATGCTTAATATTTTGCACTTACTTCCAAAGAAATATAATTGCAGAGATCTTTCCATTTTCTTTGTATTAAATCTTTTCCACCAGCTTGCCCATAAAACATTTTGTTCCGAAACCTGCTATTGAACTTACCCGGTCTCGCCTCTGAAAAATTTAATTTATTTCATCCATTTATTTATTCAAATAATCGATTCTAAATAATTATCTGCTTTTTTCGAGTTTAATTTAACGTATTGAATGATTTGAAGAAAAAAACACTTTTTCCCTATACCAAATATCTAGATAAAATTTATAAACATTCTTTATACGGAAATATACTGAATTGGTTTTAGGATCAAACCCCTCTTTAACATTTAATACATATTTTTATAATACACTAGTTTATTTTTAAAATTTATCTCTAACTGTAGTTCGAAATTCCGACCAAGATCATTACAATCTATAAAGTTTGCTGTCTCTGATTTTTCAAAAGAGTGTTTAGTTATTTTCAATTGAGACCCGTGTAGTTTTGAGTATTAAATTCTAAAGTAAATTTCTAATAGAACTTACGTCAAATTTTCTGCTAATTGTGACACGACATTATTACCTATACAATATTTAAAATAAGAATTTTTTTTTACGATTTTAAAATTTATGGAAATGGTAATTCTGCATAAACTCAGGAGTCAATTACATTTACTACATAAAAGCAGTTGATTTATCAACAATGTTTAGGTTCGTGATTCGAGAAAAAATATCTCAAGCTGTAATTCGATGTTCTGACCAAGCTTATTATGATCTATGAAGTTTTATTGTCATTGATTTTTCAAAATTGGGTCGAGCTATTTTCAGATAAGATCATGTGCGCTAATGTTTTGTGTAATAAGTTTTAAACTAAAAATATCTCAAGCTGTTATTCGATGTTCTGACCACGCTTACTATGATCTATGAAGTTTTATTGTCATTGATTTTTCAAAATTGGGTCTAGCTATTTTCAGATGAGATTATGCGCGTTAGTGTTTTGTGTAATAAGTTCTGAAATAAAAATATCTCAAGCTGTAGTTCGATGTTCACGCTTATTATGATCTGACCACGCTTATTATGATCTATGAAGTTTTATTGTCATTGATTTTTCAAAATTGGGTCTAGCTATTTTCAGATGAGATCATGCGCGTTAGTGTTTTGTGTAATAAATTCTAAAATAAATTTACAGAAGATCTCATGTCAAATTTTTCTGTTAATTGTGACATTACGCTATTACATATATATTATTTTAAATAACACATTTTTTACTACTTTTAAAATTTATGGAAATTGTGATTTTGTATGAACTCAAGAGTCAATCACATCTACTACATAAAATCAGTTGATTTATCAGTTTTTCAATCAATGTTTAGGTACACCATTGGTAGGTACAACAATTAGGTATCAATGTTTAGGTACAATAGAGTTGTTTTCATCAAGAAATATTTTTGTCGAAATATTTTGTCTCTTAAAACTTTAATCTGGTTCTGATGTTGAAATAAATTAAAGTATCCTAACTATTGCTTGACTAAAACACGCTTTAGAGATGACTGAACTCTCGAAAGTTACTTCACGTTGTTAAAGTTTTCAAAGTTGTTAAGTTATCAGAGTTGCTAAGATAATAACGCTCTCAAAACTTAAGCCTCTTTAATAAGAGGCTGTGTCTTGATTATTACCTCTGGCTTCGTGAAACTCTAAGGCGATTCTAGCATCTACTCCAAGAGAGAAGTAGTTGTTGACAACATTGAGTGGTAAATTCTTTCGCCCCTCCTCCTGATTGCTTGTGTCAGCGTTGGGATTTGGAATGACATTCAACATCCACCTAATGATAAATATTTTCTTTAAAGATTAACAAAATATTCGAGGAATTAATAAATAGCTTATATTGCGTCTTCAAAACTTAAAACAAATCGATGAGAGATGAATTATTCTAAATGAACTATAAATAAAAGGACGATTGATTTTATTTTATTTTATAACCGTTATTGAACTGACGAACCAATTTGCTGGGTTTACAACTACTAATGTTATACTCCGTAGCCTTGCCATTTTGAACCCAGTCCAGAAGACAAGGAAACTCCTAGATCAAGTATTGAAAGAAATTTAACCTCGTGGACTTTTTGAAGAAACTAACCAGCATTTGAGGTTGTCTATCAATACATTTTGATGTTTGATAAATTATAAAAACGAAATCCTAAGAAGTAAATTATGATGAATTTATTAAGTGACTTAACTTGCGATAGATACAGTCACATGTGACTCTCAGAGAGTTATTAAAACTAAATCATAAATAAATAAATGATTTATTTAGTAAGTAACGTACATTATATTGCAAACATTAACTTGCTTTGATTCATGACGCATCATAAGAAATAAATTATGATGAATTTATTAAGTAACTTTACTTGCGATAGATACAGTCACAGTGTGACTCTCAGAGAGTTATTAAAACTAAATCTTAAATAAATAAATGATTTATTTAGTAAGTAACGTATATTATATTGCAAACATTAACTTGCTTTGATTCATAACGAATCATAAGAAATAAATTATGATGAATTTATTAAGTAACTTAACTTGCGATAGATACAGTCACAGTGTGACTCTCAGAGAGTTATTAAAACTAAATCATAAATAAAAAATGAGGCATTTAGAAAGTAACGTATATTACATTAAAAACATTAACTTGCTTTGATTCATGACGAATCATTAGAACTGAATCATGAATAATAAATGAGGAGGAATTTAATAAGTAATGTAGATTACGATTCAGATATCAGCACATTGTTGCTTGACGATTTACAAAGAATGAATCATAAGTAATAACTGGCGAGAAATTTTGTAAACGCATGTTAAGATAGAAATAATCAGCGCAATTTTATGTGTTACGAATTATTAGAACCAAACCATAAATAAAGAATTTAATAAGGATCGTAGGGTAAACGAACCAGTGAAGGAACACTATCCAGTGAAGGAACATTTCATATATATATATTGACTAAAAATAAGAATTTGAAAGTTTTTCTTCAGATTGATTGGTAACAATAGCTTACTGCCAAACAATAGAAAGTCATCTAGCAATGTTTTGGATTACCTGGTCAAATAGACTACTCTGGAAAATTTTTTGAATTAGTTATTATCTCTGTAATATCTTGTTTCTTTGAAAAATTATAATATGAGTATTTGTATTTATATGTTTGAAGTGGAATTAATTGCATGTAATAGTTTTATTTTTCTCATTGTGAAAAGGAGAATTTAAAATATAGTTATTGAAGTTACGTTTAATTTTTTTTTTTAAGCATCATGGCATAATAAAGTACTGAGTTAAGGGTTTCTGGTTTTCACAGGGTTCCTTTACTGGTTTTTTTCTAAGTTAATGAAAATAAAAGATAAACTTTAATTTTCTTGCACCTTCAGTGATGTTCCGCATCAAAAGTATGTTAAAAATACGAAAGGCAACTTCTAACCAGTGAGGGAACAGGCATGCTCCTTTATTGGGCATAGATTTCCCAGTGAATGAACAGTATGTGTTAATATGTTGACACTTTAATTTTCAATTCATGATTACAAAAAAAAATTAACATTATCCAAGTATTTACATGTTATAATTTCAAGAATAGGCTTGTTTTTAAATATTTGTATGGCTTATAAATTCACAAAGAGCACTAAAAAATAGCCAAAATTAAGTGTTCCTTTATTGGGTGTTCCTTCACTGGCAAGAGCTGTTCCTTCACTTGGTCTTCTTACTACTTGTTATTTGAACCTCCAAAACTTTAAAACAATATTATGTAAGTTCTCTACAATTTTTTTACATAATTTGCAATTAGT